AGTCTAGGGTCGGCAGGGTTGTTTTCGGAAAACAGAAAACACAATTTTTTTTTCCTAGGCCTTATTGAGAATATTGTTTCTGTCCATGCGTTTAGTCATCCAAAGACAACGTGCAAGATCCTACTTAGACTAACATTCTGGTTCAAAGTTGTTAAACTTTTGGCAGACTCAAGGACTCTGTGGCGACTGTAGTAGTTGAACTGTACCTCCCACGTAATGCTTGATCAATATATATAGTACCTTATCAGCAACCGGCACTTCATATTTGCAGATCCTTCTTAATTGTATACACAGGTGGTTTGTTAGGTTATGCATGTGGCAATGAAACAATGTCAAAAGAACAAAGAAATTGTTGGGAAACTGTATCTATCAGTTTTTTATTCGTCTGATTCTGCAATTTTATTAGAGTCTGTAATGCAGTTTTTTATGATTTAAATACTAATGTGGTAAATTATATATGTTAAGCTTGGGCACACTTTGTCTATATTGCAGCAATGGTACTGTGCAATGTAAATTTGTACTTGAATTTTTCCACCTATTTCAAGTATTTGCTGGACACCTTAAAAGCTTTAGAGTTCAATTTCACCATGCAATGTTCTATGGAGGGTGGGGAAGTGTTTGGTGACCAAGTTAATTAGTCATTCTTGCTTTTGTTGCAGGATTGGAAGTTCTGTACAAATGCACTGTACTTAAAAATATTTTTCAGTAGGGCTTGGAACTGAAGACTAGTCTTTAGACGTAGAAAAATCTCTCCAAAATGGAACTTCAGGATTTTAAATGTATTTCAGTACAGCAATTTCTTGTACAATTTGCAATTTGCTCACAATAATTTGTACCATTTGTCTGAGTCGATCTTTGCTCAGCATACAGATAGAAGAAACACTTCACCAGTAATTTAAAACATTCAGTAATTTAAAACATTCAGTTCATGTCCTTACATTATAAGGGGCCCAGTTTCTCCAGAAAATCTGTTTTAGTTCCACAGATTCAGGCACTGTATTTTCTGAATCCAATTAAGTGTGGTGAAGTCATTGGCAAGGGTCCTAATTGACTAGGTGTCACATCACGTGGTGGCCCACGTTAATGCCTTAGTGCCCACACCTAGGTCAATATAAGAGGTACTTCTAGCTTACCTGTTTGCTTTTCCACCTGAAGTGACAATAAAAGAAACAACCCCTGAGACCCAGTCCGATAGGGCCTGTAGGTTTAGACCAGGGCTTGAAATTCATTTTTGGGAACAGGTTCACTGGTGCACCCAACCTAAAAAAATGGTGACAAAAATTTTTTGGGGTGCACCATACTAGTATAAGATAAAATAAGTAGAATGTCAGCAAAAACTAATTATGTTTCATTTCTAAAGAAAAGTACTGCACCAATGATTTTTTCTGACACTTGGATGTTATTAACTTATGCTGTATACTACTATTATTGAACATCTTTACATACGTGAACCTACGAAAATATTTGGGTGCACTGCTGTACCCACAGAAAAAAATTGGGTGCACAGGTCAAAATTTGGGTGCACTAAGGTGCACGTGCACCCAGTATTTCGAGCCCTGTAGGGCCTGTAGGTTCAGACTAAACAAAATTTTCAAGTCCAGGGGGTTAAGCAGCGGTCAAGAGGTCACATGAGTCATTCCACCAGGGAGGCTGGGTATCCCAGAGACTAATGAGACATACTGTCTGTGTCAGGCAGCAGGTGTTTCGTAAATGCACACGCACACCTGGTTGATTGTGTACTAGTATATCACTGTATATGCTTCTGTCTGCTTGTCACTTGTGGAGCTTTCAATGATGGTATTACTAGCAGCTTAAGGCCTAGGAAAAAAATGTTGTGTTTCCTGTTTCCCGACCAACCCTAGAAAAAACTGCTTACCCTAGCCTTTTTTGTGGACGCCCTTGCAAGGGACATAAATTTTTCGTGCTGATTAATTTTTTCTACCGCCATGATCTGACACCTGAGTGATGAAATGTTGTACAATTGGTTTTCCAACATTGACATTGAAAATAGTATCCTCAAAAACTCCTCATGCAAGTTATACTGTAAGTTGGATCACTAGAGAGTGCCATAGTCTAATAAAGAAAATAAAGAGAAAAAAAGATAATCCCTACCTACCGACCCTAATTTTTTTAAGGACTGAAACAGGAAACACAACATTTTAGGCCCAAATAGTTTTTCCGTAACAAATTATGCAAATTTTCTCATGAAAATGTTGCTGACATGTTTTCTATTTCTCTAAATAGTGCTGGAGGGTGGTTTATTTTATGCTTTTCCCTCTTCCGGTGTTATCTTAATTTCCATATAAGTCTCAGAAAAATTCATGCAAAACGTAAGAAAGAGTCTCTGATCAACCGGCTTTGAAAAATGCGTGGACTGTATTTCAAAGTCAGTTGAATAAGTCTGAATAACCCTATGAGTAACTATGTACACAGTAGTCTCAGTGTGACCTGTCTAACCCATGAATGTGACAGTGTCAGCTGTCCTGTCCCTAGTAATGCCATCATTGTTGGCCTATTGATGCACAACTCTTGAGTAAACACTGACACCATACTGTAGCTTTGTATCAGTGACCTCGCTTTTTTCCACCAGGAAGCTATACTTGTTCTATACATAACCTTTTCTACTTCGTTGGCTGTTTCTTTTATCATTTCTTTGACACTGACTCGCTTTTATTTTGTTCCAAATTTTTTTTTGGAGGGAGGAAGGGGAAATAGGTGTCATGCATGCACATGTATTTTCATGTTGAAAGCAATGGATAATGAAAGTAAGCTTGTTTTATGCAGGAAAGACTTACAAGTCATATTTCCTTTGTCTGTTGCAGCTATCATCACGTTTGTGAACTGTGCGTACGTTCGATGGGGGACCAGAGTACAGGACCTGTTCACCTATGCCAAGCTAGTAGCCCTGGTGGTCATCATCATCACTGGTCTTGTGCACATGGGATATGGTAAGTACTGTACTTGTGGCAAAGATGATTTTCCTGAAATGGAGATGTGTACAAAAAAATTGAAATACCATTGTACTTCTCTTTCTTTTTCACCCTTACTGAAGATGAAATGATGAAAACAATACCAGAAATGCATTATCCTTGAAATGGGAACTGATCTCAAATACTAGTAGATGGTTTAAGCCTTGGTCACAACCCGCCGTACGTGCTTTTTGTCCGTATGTTTTATTGGGAGGCTATGTCTGCTACGTTTTTATGAAAACGTGGGGAAGGAGTGGCGTCAACGCACGTCACTCGCACGGTCGCTAGGTGTAAGAGTGAGGCTTTATTTGGTAGACTTTGTCTACAGAATAGATGCCAGTAATTGTGCAAATTATTTTGTTGTTCAGCAGAAGCAACTTATCTTTAGAAACACAGAAACACAAAGTGTGCATCACCAATTCTCAATCAACACCACTGTATTATCTAAGCAGGTGTTCCAGTGCTCCTTTCACCTGCCGTAGCTGTTCTGCTTTAATTTACAAGGAAAATTGTTTGTCTCATGGGACCTCTTACTCTGTTACCAGAACAAGCTATATACCAGCCTTTTGTGTTCACTGATGTTATCTATCCAGGATGCTATCCTATGCATTTTTACATTTGCACAATGTGTTACCCCAACTACCAGTTGGCACCCAAGTGAAATATTAGTAGTTAGGCTGTCTGCAATTCTGTATCAAACTGAAATGACTTGGATGTGCTAAAGTGAAATTTGCATTTTCTGGTTTAGACATTACCAGACGGAGTACTTATAGGCCTATTAGGAGTGCCATGTGCCTGCCTGATCCATCTGCCAAATGGCAAGAACATAACTTCCCAAGAAAGAACACCAAAAGCTTCCGGTCTCACTTCCTTTTGGACTTGCAAACTACATATGGACCAGTGGGAACTGGGGCAAGCTTTGGTTAAGTGTCTCTTGTCAAGACTTGATTTATAAACTAAACCCTTTTTCCTTGGTTCTTTGTGTTTTGTAGGTGAAGTTGCACCATTCCAGAATTCGTTTGAGGGCACGACAGCCAACGTTGGTGGGATTGCTCTGGCGCTCTACTCAGGCCTTTTCGCATATGCAGGATGGTAGGAAAATAGACCAACTTTTCTGGCTCAAATGATATTGCACAATATGACATTAGGCCACACCAATTTAATTTGATGGTTCTCGGATTTGCTTCTTCATTTTTTTCTGATTTGAAAAAAAAAATTCTGGTTCTGAATCAACTCAAATATGCTCAAATTTTGTCCCCATCAGTTGAGGAAGTCCTTTTCTTTCTAGTTGTTACAGTTTTCCCATCTATCAATGCAGTGGTTTGATTAAAAGTTCATTGTTTAAATATAAGCCCAGCCATTTGTGTTGACTTCATGGCCCCTATCATAGCATTTGGGGGTATAATAGGATGCCTAGACCTGTTTTTATTCTTTTCGCCGTTGCTTCATATTTTTCTGAAAAAATCCGAGAACCAACAACTTAAATTGGTGTGGCCTTATCTATACACAGATTATCTGTTTGCTTTTTTTCTACCACTCAGAAACAACAAGCATACACTAAACCCTTGTCTTATGGTTTTGAAACACCACAAAAGAAGAAAAAAGCATGCTACTGTCTAGTATAGCACTCAGAAAATATGTTTACAATTTGATTTATTGAAGCACCACAAACACTGTGTGACAAATTGCACTGATTGCTCATTAAGCATCTTCTTAGATCCATCAATCCTAGAAGGACACAAGCAATGTTACATATGTAACACGTACATATATTTAGGTCAAGCTATGTCCAGCCATTTGTGCAGTATGTCTGCAGGTATAAATTGGTAGCAGACAATTTGACAAATCCCTTTTCTGGTGTCTGTCAGCTGTCAGTTTAGTAAAATGGGGTCACTAGTCACGAGTGTGTCACACTGTGTGTGCATTTGGGTGGGTGCGGGTATTAAAGGTTATCTTGAAATGTATGGTCTGATAACTGAGGATAGGACCAGAAATATTACGCAGATATTGTGGATATGGAAAAGCAGGTTTTATCCTACAAAACTGTTACATCCAACTTGCTATTATACTGCACATCTAGCTTTTGATAGGATTTTGAGTACTCTAATTTGAGTACCCTAATTTCCCAATGACAGGAAGTAGGCCTTTACTTAGGAGGCATCATAAATAAAATTGGGTCCAATTTTCAGGTACATTTCTATCGAAAATAATTGCTTACAGTGTGTCATGCTATTACTATTACTCTATTCTATCCAAAGCAATGTAGATAGTTAAATAGAATGAATATGAAGCAAGTGAAGGTATTTTAAGTCCCAAATCCCCTCTGTTGGCCGACTGATGTTTTTCAGCTCCTAAGGCCACAGCAATTTAATTTCTTGGTTAACGGATTTTTCTAGAAAAATAATGGAGCGGGCGGGCGAAAAAAAATAAAAACAGGCCTAGGCATCCTATTATGGCCCAAAATGGTACAACAGGAGCCACGAAGTCAACACACCAGGCTGGTTCAAAATTTAAACATTGAATTTTGAACTTTTAATGATACCACTGCATTGAAGGATGGAACAACTGTAACAACTAGGATGAAAAGGACTGTTTTCAACTGTTCAGGGCAAAATATGAGCATTTTGCAGTTGATTCTGAATTTTTATTTTTATTTGCAAATCAGAAAAAAATGAAACGGGGGAATCCGTTAACCAAGAAATTAAATTGGTGTGGCCTAATCTCATATTTCCGTAATCTCACTACTTATTGATTTCCTATGCTCCCCAGGGACACGTTGAACTATGCAACAGAAGAGCTGCGGGACCCTTACAGGTAATTTGACACCATCAATATGGAAATTTCCTTCCTGTCAACAGCAGTATATCTTAGAAACTAGGTCAGGTCAATAACCCACTGTGTTGTCATAGTCAATTAGCGGAGCGGTGTTGCTTAGCCCAGTAAAACATGTACCAGGATGTTGTGAAAACTGTCAGTGTATTGTTGATGAAGTTTAGACATCCAGGTAATACGATACACCAAAAAGCAGTTACTCAAGCAACTGGTTTGTGCTTATAAACCTGCATTTCTCCTCTGGTCTCTCAGTCATTGATGAAAGCTAGTGGATGCTAGCTGAAAAATCTGACCGTTTCCAAAATCATATCAAGTTGCTTGAGTAACTGCTTTTTGGCGTGTCAATGTATTGGATGTCAGTTCTACACTAGAGCATTCAAAGCACAGCTATTTGAAACAAGAAGAACATTATTACAACAGGGAAAGGTAGTGGTTGATTGGCAAAGCTATTTCTTCAAAAAAGTGTGAAACTTCACTGTATTGAAAATAAACATTGGCCAAGTCTCAGAATGTTGTCAGCGATTCGAGTATGCAACAAATATACACTTTCTACTGTATGTTGAGAGAAAAACCTGAGTTCATACTGAATTTTACAACTTTTTTGCATGGGGTATACTGTATGCTAGTACATCCAAATTAGATAATGATACTGACACAATGCTGAGCTATCTTTTTGCTAGTTATTGGATTATTTATCTCTGATTTTTATTAGCTTATCGTGACCTTTAGTTGATGAGGCAGAATAAGTACTAAGTCTAAACTAAAGCTTAGGACTACCACTCCTGAACTTAAACTAACCTCTACCCTGGTCTAAACCCACGTTAGAAGAACAGAAGTATAGCAGAAATCACCAAGTTGGAATAACAGCTTTCATGCTTGCATTTTTAGAAACCTACCTCGTGCCATCTGGATCTCCCTGCCCATTGTGTCCATCATCTACATCCTCACCAACATCTCCTACTACACCATCCTGTCTACAACAGAAGTGCTGACCTCAGATGCTGTAGCTGTGGTGGGTATCTGTGGTAATGTGTGTGTGTCACTGTACTTGTGTGTGTGTGTGTGTGTGTGCGTGTGTGTCTGTATGTGTGTACGTGCGTGCATGTATGAAGGGTGCAGGGTGAGGTGGGGGTAATGTGTGTTACCTAGCACGTCGGCAGAATGTACTGCACCTGCGCGAAACCCGTCATGTACTGTGCATAGCATGTCGGCAGAACGTCTCCAATAAGGTCGTATTAGCGCCTATAAGGTTAACACTCCATGTATAGTTTCCAAATATTATACTGAAAAAATACTGTCTGCAACAGGTAAAAATCTGATGCATTGCTGATCAAAAATCTGACAAAAACCATGAAAAATGGGGGTTTTGCGCAGGCGCAGTACGTTCTGCCGACGTGCTGTGTTAGCTACATCTGTATACAATGGAGGAGATACCATAGGTATCTACAGTCTCTTGTGTGTGTTGGTGCTGTCTATTGTCCTCAATATTTAACTACAAAAAGCTTAGCCTTTTGGTACATACTTAACAAATCATGCATATGGCTGGAATTGCCAAAGTTTGATGTTTTGGTGTCAAGAAGTATTAGACTGGATTTGTTGTTCCTTATACAGTATATAATTTCATTCCTCTGTTATTTTTCCCAGTCCTTTGCAAACAGGTCCCTTGGTGTGATGGCTTGGTGCATCCCCATTGCTGTAGCCATGTCGACATTTGGAGGCCTGAATGCATCCATCTTTGCTGCAGCCAGGTACAAACTTGAATACCTACTTCGAACATTGTGGATTTGTTACATTTGTGGTCATACCTAAAAATGTGAGTGGGTACCTGAACAGGCTTCTACTAACTCATTTTTGTGAGGATAGAAAATTTAGAAGAGAAAATTATCAAAATGGACTACTGGTACATGTATAAGTCGATTTACCCCATCTAATGATGTCTATTGTAGATCTTAATGATTTCTGTCCTTGTTTGAACTTTAACAAAAATGGTCTATGTGCTCCACTGGTGTGTATCACACTAAACCTGTTATCCACCTTCTTCGCAACCTGTTATCCACCTTAAACAAATCCATGCGAAGGCCTCTCCTCACTCAGGTCTATGAACTGACACAGTCATCATACTTGGAAAATCTGTATCTGTATATCTGTACATGAATATGTATCTGTACAGGAATCTCCTGTATCTGATTTCAAAGTATGAGATGTACACCTGAAAATCATTTATCACCATAGCTTCTATTTTTTCTATTAATTGATCCTCCTGATATTGTTCCAGGTTATTTTTCGTGGGTGCTCGTGAGGGACATCTACCAGACTTGCTGGCCATGGTGCACATCACTAGATACACACCAGTCCCAGCTGTGTTGTTTAACGTAAGTTCTCTGTCACCTAACAATTAGAATTCTTAAGTTTTTAGCAGTTTTTTTTTGTTCCATGTCAATGTTTGAGTAGAAAGGGGAAGATACACAGATGGCATGTATAAAACTGCTAATATCATACTGAAATAAAGACATACAAGACCTCATACCTTTTTATACCAATGCTGTTGAAGTCTTTGACATTTACAAGCAATTTCTATTTTTCACAGAATCTATTCCATGAAAGGTATTCAGTTTTGACCCATGTCCTGCAGAGCCCAACAATTGCTAACAAATCTATATAGCACTCTGTATAGGTACGACTTGGGGATATTTCGCATTATACTGCAGCAAAATGCAACAAATGCCGCCACAGGGCAAATAAGTTGGCGGTCTATGACCTAATTAAGACATGAAATTATTGAAAATATTGTGTAAAAAATGCCAGCAGGACAAGGGTTAATATTCAACGTATTTAGAAGTACCTATGAGCACATCTCTAATTGTTCTGACTAATTTGTCTGCGCCCAATTTCAGGGTTTTATGGCGATCTGTTACCTGACCACAGACGACGTGTTCACCCTGATTAACTACTACAGCTTCATGTACTGGCTGACAGTGGGCCTGTCTGTAGCAGCTCTGTTGTGGCTGAGGTATAAGAGACCGGACATGCACAGACCCATCAAGGTACTTGTCTGTTTTACATGTCTGAAATTAGCCTCTACCAGGCTACGGGAAGTGGCTGCAGAGAGTAGAAATTGACCAAATAGACAGATGATAGGCAAGCAAGAAGGTCCTGTCAATGACCTGAACCAGACGTCTGTCACCATGGTAACTAGTGTTGGGTTACATCATGTTGCAATTTTATAGCAGGAGGGATTTATACTCCTGTCTGACCATCTATATGGATGTACTTGAGTAAGAATTAACAGAGCAGACCGTATGCGAAGGTAAACATTTGCAAATGTTACCTTTCTAGTTAATCTATGTCATTGTACTTGACTATGAAGTGACAACTACTCTCCCTTCCCCACCCCACAGGTGAACCTGTTCTTCCCCATATCGTTCCTGATTGCCTGTGTGTTCCTGGTGGTTGTTCCCTTCTACTCCGACACTGTCAACTCCCTGATAGGAACTGCCATTGCTGCCACAGGCCTTCCTGTGTACTATGTCGGTGTCTACATGAAGAAGAAGCCGGTTTGGCTGACAAACTTTGTTGGTGAGTATCAATTGTTTAACCCTTGTCCTGCTGCATGACATTGATATTCATGCATATATGAATTATGATTTTAACATGAAGAAATGATATATTACTGTCTCATTCAGTATTGAATCTACACACATGTATTTATGTTTACCAAAGGAAAACATATTGTTTTTGCTGTTTCCTCCTCTTCTTCCTCTTTTCCAAACAAATAAGGTCAATGACCTGAACCCGATGTCTGTCACCATGGCAACTAGTGTTGGTTTACATTATGTTGCAATTTTATAGCAGGAGGGATTTAGACTCTTGTCTGACCATACATTGTATATACTATGAATGTGTTTGAGTAAGAATTAACAGAGCAGACCATATGCGAAGGTAATTGATGCAAAGGAGATCACAATTATGTTTTTGGATTCAATTTTTTGTGAGGAATGTATCCTGTACAACAACTCAAAGCAATTCTGATCTAGTGATGACTTCTTTGTGCAGATACTGCGACCAGAGCGTGTCAGAAGGTGATGATGTCCATCCTGCCTGATGTTGATGTCCAGCAGAAGATGATAGAGGAGGCTGGGTAGTAAGGACAGTCTCAAGATGTCTTGGAATGTCAAGAATGTTCTTCAAGACTGCTACATGTGTGTTATATGGGGATTTAATCTGTTAGCCAGGGAACTGCTTGTTGAGTTTACTTTACTGAATAGCACTGTCAAAAATAGTAATCTATGTTGGAACAACCACTTTCTTTTATTTATGTACAGTTAATATACTCTCCAATCAGAGGTTTGGGCTTTGGGTTATTTTGGCATATTTTGTAGTACTTTTTTATTTTTTTTTTTTTTTTTGCACTGGAATTTTTCTTTCATTTTGGGTTAGGTGGAAGAAAAATTCCAGTGCAAAAAAGAAACCCCGATAAAAAGTCTAAGAACACGCCAAAAATAACCCAAAACCCAAACCTCTGCTTGGAGAGTACAGTTAATGACCAAAGTGCCCCAGGACCTACATGTATTTACTGCTTCTAAACTATTTCATATTGATGGCTACTGACACTCCTTTATCTACACACGTACCAATAGGACCCGTGAGAATCACATCAATAGGTGCATCGTCATCTTGTATCCTATCATTTTTTAGAAAAACCATCATACCTCATGGCAAGAGGACCATTCTATATAATCTCCAAGCAGATCTTTCGGTGGGGGAAGACAGTATCCAATCGGCCACTCTGTTACTTCGGTGGGAAATTGTTACAGAGTTGCCTATTGGATACTGTCTTCCCCCACCAAAAGATCTGCTTGGAGATTACATTCAATAGACCTTAGCACACGATTCAATACACTTAGTACCAAAGTGTGTGGATTCTACCTCCTATTAGTCCAAAGACCCATTCTTTATAAGTCTGTATGGTTAACTATGAAAATGGTGAGGGTTTTTGTCAATAGTGTACAAAAACGCACCCAGCCAGACCCCTAGAATACTCTAGTGCGAAATTCTGCTGAACAGTCTTCCAGTTTGAATGGCAAAGTTCTTTGGTCACAACCATTTATTTTTCCCAAGCCGAGGTTTCGATGACCGTCTGTCATCTTCATCAGGGCAATTCTGACTGGTTTACTGTGCACTGACGCTAGATGTTACTTGGACAGACGGTCATCGAAACGTTGGCTCGTAAAAAATAAATGGTTGTGATCAAAGAGCTCTGCTATTCATTTGTTTACCAACCTGATGAAATTATTCAAGGAAGTCTTCCAGTATGTCTTGTTAATGTTACTTGTGAAATCCTTTGTGTAAGAAGCTGGTGGACAGGGTATGTGGAGATTGTCTGTAACTGGGTTAAGCCAAAAGGATAACTACAATGTAATCATTCTTACTGTATGAACATTCAGGCTATACAAATGCTTCAACTATTGACTCTTTTTGAAGAGAATGGAAGAGAAGAGAAGAAAGAACTATGATTAGAGAGCAACGAAATCTGTATCAGACCGATTGCCAGTGTCTTACTCTTAGAGCATTGTTGCTCCAACTAAATCACATGGAAACAAGTTACCTACAAAGCACTTTGACAACACACATTTTGTGAGAAAAGATAAACCTTTACTCTTGGATGTTTTTAGATGTTTTTAAACAATATCGTATATATTTGTACAGCAGTGGAACTATTTATGGTCCATCCATGTCAGATATCCTTGTAGAAGTGAATGTGTACAGTATACAAGAAGTGTTTGACAAATCAGAAGAACTGTCTTTTAATTGTGACTTTAGAAACCTTGTACACTACATAAAGTCTTAAACTCTTTTCTACGGAGGCCCGTAAGTACAGTGCTGCATGTCTGCACGAATACAGTATTTGCGCAGACACGCAGCGACTGTACTTACGGGCCACCATACTTTTCAGATTTATCTTCTTAACATGAGGATACCATTTGGTGTACATTTGTAATCAAAGTAGTTCTGAGACCAGTGACAACAATTACCCATTGGAATGTTTAACAAATGACATTCAAACTGGAACAGAGACATACATATTGTATGAACTTAACTTTAACCTAAGTTACTCAGGTCACCCAATTGTAACTTGGGTCAATGGAAACCAAAGGATCACAAGTCTTTTACTGTTAGGTTTTACTTGTATCTTGTGTACATTCTTCATCTTTGTTTTGTTTTGTTTTCTTGATGATTATGATATTTGGTCTCTTTTGTTAAACTAAAACTTGCAGCTGATGGTACAGAGGATAGACATTCTAATTTCTGATAGAATGTGTTGTATTTTCCAAAGCATGAGGCACAGCAGATATATAAGATAATATTGATGCCAAAAGATTTCCATGTACAGTCTTCTTTCAATGAAAGCGTTCAACACAATCAAAGAGAAGAAAAATACAAATGTATTTCCAATCTTAAAAAAGAATCCAGCTAAATATTAAGTTGTACAGTATATCTTGTACAATATCTTTTCTTTAAGGTACACTGATGTTAGATATAAGATTTGAAAATGTTGCTTTTTATGATTTTGCAGTAGACCGTAGTTTATGCTTCAACTCTGGAACAAGAGAAATGTTGATGATGATTTATTTGCATATTTTAGCTTTGCTTATAGAATCAGTTTTGACAATTTTAAGAATATTGAAGATCTCCTTGAGTAGAATTACAACACACAGGAAGATGATTTTTTGTGCATTGAAGGAAGTAAGTGCTTTGTGAAATGAAGAATACTACTAGTATTTGAAATGCCTTGAAATGTTGTTCTTACATTCATTGAATGTGATTATTATCCACAAGTAACACAATATGCCAACACACAACACCAACCCAGTAATTAAACATCAAATTATCCTCATTTGATGGTGTTCATAAGGCGACACCAATTTAATTTGTTGGTTCTCGGATATGCCTCATCATTTTTTTCTGATTTGCAAAAAAAAAGATTCTGGTTCTGAATCAACTCAAATATGCTTTATATTTTGCTCCCAACTGTTGTGGAAAGTCCTTTTCTTCCTAGTTGTCACAGTTTTCCATCTATCAATGCAGTGGTTTGAGTAAAAGTTCAAACTTCATTGCTTAAATGAAGTTTGTGTTGACTTCATGGCTCCTATGGTAGCATTTTGGGCTGTAATAGGATGCCTAGACCTGTATTTTTTTTCCGCCCTGTCGCTTCATATTTTTTCAGAAAAAAATCCGAGAACCAACAAATTAAATTGGTGTGACCTAGGTAGCGCAATACTCTTCTCACAGAGTCAGTTACATTAATAGTGTTGGCATGGCAAATCATCACAATGCCATTTTGACATTTTGCTTCTGCATAGCAGTTGATATACTAGTATCCATCCATTAGTCATCTGTCTCCACTTGGTTTCAGCTTTAGTTTCTTTTTCACATAGCTTTACACCTTTATCTTCACAAATCAAGGAATACAAGACAACAATGCTTAACTGTAGAATGTTTTCAGCATGGAAACCTGCCACATTTAAGTCAAACTTGCAATTGACAAAGCCGAACAAATGACATAGAGATCATATATTGCTTGTCAGGCCTTTTTTCTGTTAAAAAATATACAGTTATTTTATGAAAACTTTGCAACATCTTGTATATAGTTACTCTTTTTTTTACTTTGCATAAGATGTGATGTTTGTATTTGGCACATCCTGAGATTTTGTTATAACTTTCGATCCAAAACAAAAAATTCTGTCACCTAGAGCTTTCGACCAGTCACTCTGGTCATCCTCAGTAGACTGACCCAGTGAGGCTTGTCACATGGCTTCTTTGAAGTGTGACGGTAGATTTTGGTAGATTATGGACAGACATGTAGTAACAAATCCTTAGGACTTAGCAGAAGGGCACCAAGTCATTTTTTGTGCGCTCGTTGTACAGTGGTTAATGATCCTACCTCTTGGCCAATTTGGGATTTCGATTGCCGACTTTTGCTCACCCAACATGCACACTACTGCAAAGTGTTGCAGCCCTTGGAGTGACCCACTGTTCACAATGCTTGTCAAATAGAGCTAGCAGAATTTCCACAGTACAATGAACAATATACTGTACATACATGTACTTTCCTATCAACGTTAGAGGAAGATTGGCTCTTTAGTAAGCTTCCCTGGTTCACTTTCACCATTCAAGGAAAAGGTCGAGGGGGAGAAATGTAGAGAAAAACCTAACCACATGTACACACCCAAACGTTCATAATGGCATAAAAAATTAATTCAATTTCCCGAAATTTTGTATGGTCAACTTGACAAGACAGTAGTAGGTGGGGGACACTTTTCTTCTCAAGCCATCTTCTCTGTCTCCTGTCTTTCTTCGTCGTTCTGTAAGACGGTATCTTCTGCCTCCTGAGGAACACACAGCAGGAGTTTCTGCACTCTTCTTGTGATGCCATCTGGAAGAAAAGGGATCGGAAGTTGTTGCATTTCCTGACCGTCTTTAGATATGTTTGTATCAGGACCTTTTTCCACAAGGGGTACTAGCAACAACACAACAAACTTGAAAGACAATATGAAATGTCTTTAGCTTTAAAAACAGGCCTATTTGGGTCATACGGATGACGTAACGTGTTATGTCTAAACATTCAGACATCGGCATTGAACGTTTGAAATGGTGAGTTAAATTTTGTGGGAGAAAAGAAGGACTTGTATTGAGAAAAATAGAATATTTCAGGGGTATCACACAATTTGTAAGAAAGCAAGGGCAAAGGTGGAAATCTCGGTGGAAGTTCAAACCTCTTGATACCTTTTCAGCACCAAGGACAGAGATTGTATGTCCATCTTTTAATAATGACATTAAAATATACATTTCTCATAGTTAACAGCAGCTAACAGCAAATAATTGCAACGAAATAATCTCCAAGCAGATCCCTTTCGGTGGCAAGGCAGTATCCATTAGCCAGAGAAGGTCGCCGGCCACCGACGGTGGGGATAGCGACAAAAAAACGGCCATATATAAAAAGCTAACGATCATTCCCCCACAACCTCTGATTGGAGAGTAGCAACGAACCATATTCTAAGTTAGGGTTCGTCACTGTGTTTAAAGCAGATACAGTACGTCTCACCTGCAATGTTGTGTAGCCATGCGGGGTGGACCTTTCTGTGCACGCCGATGTAGTACACGGGAACGCCGGACAGGAAGATGGCGCACCCGATCACCGAGTCCCGGAACGCTGAGTAGAACGGCACGATAACCAGAAACAAACTGGCCATCAGGAACAACACCGGGAGAGCCAGGTGGACCTGGAATAAGAAGACAGTCTTTGTAAATTGTAGCAACTTTCGGCCTTAAAACGCCTTGAGTTGTGCCATCAAAAAAATTTTAATATTTGTTTGAGATTTCTTTGATGACAAAACTCGAGCCTTTAAGAAACGTTGAACAAGGTCCTTAGAGTTTTGCACTGAAGGCGTTCCTGCCAAATATAATCTTTTTTCTTTCTTTTCGTCATGACAAATATGTCTGTTACCATTGAAAGTCCCGCATTTGTACAGACAGGCACTCGATATAGTTAACGGGAGTCCGCGTCTTGGCTGTTTTCCAGCCGGTAACCTTCATAAACATGTGCAATGATAGTAAAATACAGAATAACGTGCAATGGAATGTATTTATTGAGAAGGATTCTCTTCAATTATATACAAGATTATTTCCCTAGTTTAGATTTTTAGGTAGAAAAGAAAAATTCACATTCCTCATAAAACTCGATAATCCTCGTACTATAAGCTCAATCTGTTCTTACAATTACAAGTGTCTTAAGAAGCGAGAAGAAGCAGAACCTGTACATATGTAGTTTTACTATAGATATATTTCAGTCTACCGTCGCTACTAGTATTTGCCGTGACCTGTACTTAGTTCTCAATGAGCAAAAATGTACAAAGGTCTTTCTTTCAATAAAGATTATGCTGACACACACCTTGATGGGTCTGTGCATGTCAGGCTGTCTCCATCTGAGGTACAGCAGGGCGGCGATAGACAGCCCCACCCCGATCCAGTACATGAAGCTGAAGTAGTTAATCAGCGTCAACACGTCATCCGAGATGAGGTAGCAACAGACCAGGAACCCCTGTACAGGGAGGGAAGTCGTCAGACAACCGGAGAAATGTGCAAATCCCATATACTAGCATAACGTTTTACATGTATCTGACACACACACACAAACACACGCACAGAGAGAGAGAGAGAGGGAGAGAAAGGGCGAGAGAGAGAGGGAGAGACCTGTAAAATGATCTAGGTACTTTTGTAAGTTTTAAAGTCTGTGTTTGTACATAGCTATAGTGATTAGTGAACACTGAATGGCCATAATTGTAATAAGATGTACATGTAATTGTAGCCGAAAGGATGCAGGATAGCTTAGCATGAAAGTTCATCTGTGTTGGTATACTTCATCATGACCAAAAGGGCTAATCGTTCAAGCCAACACTAAGACGTACCCAAATTTTCGGCCCACTCCGTCAGCCTTGTTCACGGAATGGACCCTTCTACTGCAGCTTCCGGTTGGCTTGAACGTCTAGCCTTTTGATCTTCATGATAGCTTCTTTCGAAAAGGCTTAGAAGTCTATACACAGCCATCTGCGCATTGACCCAGTTTTTAAATTGGATCAAACTAGCGACACAATGTATACATAGATAATGTATGAAGGGCAGGAAACATTCTTTACGTTAAAAAGAACTGCTGGGGCGGGAGTCAAGGTCCAAATGTTGATCATGGACAGCACCTGGGGTAGATGGCCCTCCCGAGATCCCACAAAGTACAATCTGAAAAGAAACAACATACCAAAATCATGACAATCCGTCGACCGGTTCTTGACTTATCCTCCTTCGAATATTTTTCCTGCAGTTCCAGAACAAGCCGCTAGGGGGCAAAAACTCATATCACTGCTTCCCTAGCCAAACAGCTATCTACCATCCAAAATTCGTAACCCTAACATGTTCAGATCAAGAGATTTTAAGACCGGAAGTTCTGCTGCAGTACCAACAAAAGCTGTTAAGAGGCCCAAAATCTAATCATTTCTAGGTCTCATCAAGACCTACACACCTACAAAGTTTCATGACGATGCATATCGAGATTCATGATGTTCACAGACAGACGGACAAACGCTACTGAAAACATAACCTTCTTGGTGAAGGTAATAAATGATACATAGAGAGTGCACAATCAACAACATAACGACATCAGCGATAACGTACATTGGAAAGCTTTTAAAGAATTAAGGACGAGAAAGCGATTTGGTGAGTCCAGTTGCAACGTTGATGAAATTAGACGTTTGTGGGCCAGTCCTACCTTGACACTGCCAGGATGTATGCATTGATCCCTCCAATGGTCGTCATGGCAACGAGGATGGGTATCGTCCAGCTGACCACGCCCATCGCTTTTTCTGCATAGGTCTGTGGCGGGTGGAGAGGTGTCAGAACGTTTCTACATAACACATACCTCATATCGGCGTTACGTTTCATTCAGGCACCCTTTCTGACCCGAAGGCCTCATACTGCGCAGATAAGGTCTTTTCCCATTGGGTGGTGACCATTGACAAATGAAAATTGCATTTGTATGACCTATGACTTCGCCTATGGGTTGAATACCAGCCATTATGTAAACGTATGACTTGAAAGACAGTAAAACACACAAACCTTTTGAAATTTCAAACACACACACACACACACACACACACACACACACACACACACACACCTAAGCACACACATATGATACAGGTTAATAATCACGGACCTATACAATATGACAATATGACGAAAAGACTAAACTTTATGTCCAATACCAAGTCAATTGGGAATTTGAGGGCCAAAATTTTCGGATAACTCCTTCAGCTTTCTGTTGGATATCAAGCTTAAATTTAGCCTTTTCGTCATAATGTATTATACCGGCAGAGATGACCCTTCATACTAAAATCGTAGACAATGTACATGTAGATGCATGTAAACGTCTAGTAAACACAGGTGCTTTTGACTTCCTCTCGCATTTTAGTAATTGTGTAATATTGACAGAACGCACCACGGCCACAGCCTCGGACTCCAGGACCTGCTGTGCGGACAGGACGGAGTACATGGCGAGGTTGATGAGGATGTACAGGACCGTCACGATCGGCATGGAGATCCAGATGGCCCGCGGCAGGTTCTTATGCGGGTTTTTTATCTCCTCCGTGATGAAGTTCAACATGTCCCTGGGGGGTAGACAAAGGGTCGCGTAAAATGTCGAAACTAACATATATTCTGTAAGTAGGATGACATGTACTTAGCTTGTCATGAAAGTTCATCTGTGCTGGTAGTAATCATATAAAAGTTTTACTTTATTCCAGCACAAAGATTAAACAGAGCTATATATAGAGATCAAATTATCAACGACCACTGTCACCTTCATCAGGATACTTGTAGTTGATGACCAATCACTCCTCGCTTTGCGTTTTGAAGTGATTGGTCATTGAAGGTGACAGTGGTCGTTGAAAATTTGATCTCTGTTTAATCTTTGTGTTGGAATAAAAGTCTACTTTTTATTTAGCTTTGTTCGATCTTTGTTGTAGTGGACCATACGAAAGTCTTTCGAATCAATAAAGAATCAATAAAGAATCCATGAAAACAAAATGCCATTCCGTAGTGATAAAAGCATGGTGTTGCAAAATTTCGCAAGGGTTGACTAGTTAAAGCAGATACACATCTTCTCACAAACATAATCACACGGCTTCAATTAAATAGTGATGTCCACGTTCAACGTTCAAGGTTTAAACGGTGGAGTCAAAGATTTTAACGATACATGTATACGTTACTTCTTACCATCCGGCAAAGGCGTACAGACCGGGATACAGGGCTAAGGCCGCCCGTCCCATGTCAGGATTTGTTCCTTTGAAAGGGTTCTGGAACACGTGCATATCTCCTGGAATCGGAATTTTAAAAGGTTATGTATCAAAGAATAACATGAAATGTGGAGGGGGTACTGAATGCTCTGCCACAGTCCGTAGTCAACTCAAAAACATTGAACGTGTTTAAGACACGGTTAGACAAACATTGGGAGAGTCTGAAGTACAACACTTGAGTAAAGTTCGAAACCGGGATTACTACAGGCAAGCCTTCTCATCCCGAAGATGGCATCGTGGTATCAAGGGTTTAAGAAAGACAACGACAATCACATTCAAAAGATAAGATGCACAGAAACACTCGGAGATGAATGTATCAATAAAATTCCTTTACCTATATCCGATAGAAAATATCAGCTGTGAAGCTTTACAGGCTATAATTCTAAATACACCATATGTGCCAACGTTTACACAGCGAACTTGGCCCTTCCTAGACCACACATATACGATAAGGGCAATGTTTGAACAGTGGCGCTATGAAGTACTTGACTTTATCTAACATGTCAAGGGTAGAACAAAATGTAAATAGACCAAATGTAAATATAGGCAACAAGAACAACGACAGAAAAGAAGCCCATGCATCCCGATCTTGTGCCCTTGAGAAAGGCACTTGTACGACTTTCCTCACTTAATTCTGGAGAAATTTAGTATTGTCTATTGCCCTCTGCGTTGGTGAATATGAAAATAAGTTGACAGAACCTTGTGCTAAATATTCGTGTGGCGTAACGGCAGAGTACTCTACTTGGAACCAAGAGGTCCCGGGTTCGAGTCCTGACATGCCACCGATCTTGTGCTCTTGGGAAAGGCACTTTACACGACTTTCCGCACTTCGCTCAGGTAAAAATTAGTATTGTATTGTCCCCTGTGTTGGTGGCGGCATTTATATAAGTTGAAAAAACTTAAGTGTGCCGTCACCACGTCTTGTGGTTAGATGTTGGAATGAATTTTTTTTTTAAAACTCCCACCTGTGATGACGACGTTGACGACGCCTGAGATGATGACCATGACGCAGGCTGCCACGCCGGCGTAGGCGAACGCGTCCTGCACTCTCGTCACCCACCGCACGTTGGCGCAGTTAACAAACGTCAGCACGCCTGAATACGACAGAAAGTTTGACAAAAAGAGGACAATATTAGCCTCCATAGCATGCCAAAAACTAGGGGGGTTCGGGGGTCTTCATGTAGCCTGGGTACCATCCCCAGTAGTATATTCGCAAACTCTATAACTAGTTATAGAGTTTGCGAATATACTACTGGGGATGGTACCCAGGCTAGTCTTCATGGTCTTTGAGAGCTTTTATGTGCTATTTTCTCATTGTATATAGACAACATAGCTGGTTGAATTACCCCCGTTTTTTTAACTGGGCCAATCAGAAAACAGCCGAAGACCACCAAACCCCCAGTTCTAGAACTACGGAGGCCAGGACAATATAAAATCACCCAAATTGTACAGAATGGTTTTTGAAATTTGGCATCTGAGATCGCGATAGGGTTTGGTACGGGAAGTTTATTTATTCTCATACTTTCATTGAGTTTTAGGCAAGAAGCATGTACAGTTGCTTTTGTGACGCCTTCTCGTCGTTAAAAACATAAAAGGAAAGTAAAACACAATGACAAAATACATACATAATTACAAAGTGGGTAAAACAAAAATGAGTATAAACAAGACAAGTTGGTGATCTATCAATTACGAGAATCTACCTGTACAGTAAATAAGGTTTTGAACTACATCAAAGACATTACAGTTTTGTGAATATAAGCCGTAAGGAACATTAAGAACTGTCATTGAGATGCTGTAGCTCTACTACATACGGGGATATCAATCGGTACTTTTTTAAACGACTTGGCTAACGTATACATGTACAAAGTAAACCCACTTGGTGGGCGTTCATTTACGTAATGTATAATATGTATATATATGAAAAGGCCTCATTGCCGTTGAAGTATGAAAGCTACGTGGCTGATGATGATGTTTGATTTAATACATGCACGTACGCCAATGACGTCAATAAACCACATGTGCGTGCACATAACACATTACACAAACGCATCAATATCAACTTTAATGTAAGACGTCATGTTACTGCTGTTCATATCTAAATGTGTGCTCTGTGCTATCATATTTCGTGTTACTTATTATCTATAAATATAACCAGGCAATCAATCGATCTCACAGCACTAAATTTTTACTCAATCATGGTACAAATGGTTTTGATTCAGTGCGAACATCACATATACACAGCCAACATCACATATCACTGCATCAAAGTAAGAAACAAAACATTAAATCAGAGCCTTTTCTTGTCTCCTCTCTTCATAGTTATCTGCCATCCACCTTCCGGCATGGCAACAGACATTTTTGCCCATTTTCGGCATGTTGACCACTGTCAGAAGGCAACAAGATTTCTTGTTTTTTTTTCCCCAAATCAGGCGAAAATTAATGCTCGCGGTGATGTCATCCATAAAAATTACTTGCTGTGGCCTAATGGAAGAAAATTAGTGTTATTCTGCATTAAACGACTAGGCGACACGGGGGATTTAAATAGCCATCACACACACGATTCCTGCCGGATATATGTCTGAAGAGGGTTTTGAGGCTATGACTCAGGGATAACCGTTAACAGTAAGGCTGTGTACAAGACGGCGCCAGCCTCCGCCGGGTACAGGGACCCAGTGATCCGCCGGCTTGACATCCTCGACTCGCTGATCTTTCCTCAGTCCCGTGACCGGACAAATCGTTAACAAAGTACTTTGACTCAGCCAAAGAAAACTGTACGAAACAGTAATTGTTACTCTTTCGACTGCCATGTTTACGCGGCTGTAATTTGGTCCAATTAATGGACAATCAAATTATTCACATCACCCATCTGGCACTACCGTACCATACTGTGATGTGGTTAGAGACGGCATGTCAGATACCGGCGTGTGTCTTCAATTATACTGCCAGGCCGCGGCAAGACTCCGCTCCCATCTTCCCTCCCATGCTCACGCCCACGCCGTTAGCACAGATTATCAATCACAGTTAGCAGGCCCTGACAACTGACAGTTAGCTTGGACGATCTTGGAAAATACTAGTACAGTACCTCTTTCGAAGAGGCTTTTGAAACACACTCATGTTTTGTCAGTTCCTCGTATTAGGTTGTTATAAATTCTTGAACAACATACGTTACGTATCTTAATTAAGCTGTACGTTAGATGTGTCATCTAGAATACAATCTATCTGAAAGAAAACTGTTATTTCTTTCAGATAGATTGCATTTTACATAGACAATCGCGGCATGTGGGCAACACCATACAATAATGTCGACGTCGTCAGCAAAACCCAGGGGATATTTTCCAGAATTGAATGAATGGCTTGTGGGCTACAAGCCACACCAGAAATCCATGCTCTCGTGGTGGAAAATCCCCCCACAGCCACTAGGCACGAGGGCGAGCTCACATGACAGACACGTGTTGACCACAGATGACGCGTCAGTGTAGTTTCGTCAGACTGTCAATGGCATGGTACAGCTAAGTCAGCAAGTGTCCTGTCACATGATTGAACTTAGACCTTTGGCCCACACCAACAGGCTATAAGAAGCTCTTACGCGGATTAGCGATAATGATGCTATCAAATGTATGCAAGCACTTGAGAGGAGATCACCAGTTTGATTGGTATTTATAAGGCCACACCAAGTAAATTTTATGGATGACGTCCTTTGGAGACCCTAAATCTAATGCGAGAGGGCGAAAAAAAACAAAAAGGGCCCTAAAAAACAAGATTCCTAGATTAGAAATATACTAAGAGACGACAAATGTTAGGACACAAATTGAATGAGGTGACACAGTGTAGCAAGCAAGAAGTCTTTTATTCATCATCAAAACGGCAATAAATCAGGTGGAACAGCAGTTGTCGCCCTGTCCTGTTTTCGCATTACAGGTTTCACGTCAATCTGACGATTTGCTGCAATGTCGTGACTCTTTGGTCATAGTTACAGGAAGCGGAATTTCTTGGGGTTTTTTCTAGGAACAGGCCAAAATCAATGCGCGCGCGGACGTCATCCATAAAATTTACTTGGTGTGGCCTAAACACAACGCAGGGTATGTATAACTGTAATAGTACACATGCACGGAGGTTGTCAAGTCAGCTTAAACGCACAGTAACGTACGTTATACATGCACATGTATGTAGCCGCGTTTGAAGAAGGAAAATGGGTATATAGTCTACAAGGGAAGTTCAAAAGCCACTGTCTAAACCCTGTCTCATGCTGTTGCGCTCGATAAGCAAGTCAGGCAGTCGTGTATATCAAAAGAGGCTGACATGCGGACAATTAGATAAATTTTGGAGGAGGGGGGGAGGGAGGTATGTGGTGAGGAAGATATCGATGTATCAATGAACTTGCTCTGTCCTTGACTTTATCAAGGAAGTGGCTCCGGTGAAGGTCTTTTGCTCTACATCTCTGATAAGCCGATCCGCAGAATTGCTGTATAAGTGTTATTCGAGAAAGAAGTGGGATTCCCTGGGCCACAGGCTGATGTAAAAGTCGACCCATGTGGTGACAGATGTGGTACAGGGTGTATTGGAGAGGGTTGAGCTTACACACACTTCTTGCATCAGCAAGACTGCAACGTTACTGTTTTGGAGCCTCCGTAACAGGCTTATAGAACTGGGGGTTTGGTGGTCTTCGTCTGTTTTCTGATTAGCCCAGTTCTAAACGGGGGTAATTCAACCAGGCCGGCTATGTTGTCTATATGCAATCAGCAAAATAGCACATAAAAGCTCCTAAAGACCCTGAAGACCCCCCAAAACTCACAGTTTTTTGGCATGCTATGGAGGCTAACTGGTTCGCGTATTCCGTGGCTAAGGGATGGGGTTGACCCACTTCTGGAAATGGCGCGATGGAATAATAAAATCAAAACTCTTATACCGTATTGCGTATCAATTAAAAAAAAAAAACGTTGGCTCCAAATCTTCCGTACAGGTGTTTTTTTTTCTATCAGGAAGATAAAGATACATCCACATATACAATGTACACAGTGAAGTATAAAATTATTGTTACCATACACACGTAGTTCCAATGAGGTCACGCCAATTTAATTTGTTGGTTCTCGGATGCGCCTCTTCATTTTTCGGATCCGAATCTTCAAAGATTCTGGTTCTGAATCAAATCAGATATGCTCATATTTTGTCCCCAATAGTTCAGGAAAGTCCTTTTCTTCGTTCCTCGTTGTTACAGTTTTTCCATCATTGTTTAAATATCAACCCAGCTGCAGCCTTTTGTGTTGACTTCATGGTTCCTATTGTAGCATTTGGGGCTATAATAGGATTTTTTTCGCCCTGTCGCTTCATATTTTTTCTGGAAAAAATATCCGAGAACCAACAAATTGAATTGGTGTGCCCTATTGGATGTGAAGTCCGTACTTACAGACGATAGCGATGGCGAGCAGTCTGACGGCTCCGTACGGCACCTCACACCCGGGGAAGAACGGCTGGACCAGGTAGGAGGAGAAGGTGAGCGCGATGACCGCCTGGCCGGTCGGGTCCACGATCAGCACCGACACCCACAGCCGCAGAAACGCCGGGAACGGGCCGAACGCTTCCAAGATGTAGGCATAGCTAGCTCCTGACTTTAAGATAGAGGTGCCTAGCTCTGCGTAACACAGGGCACCCAGGGCAGAAAACACACCGCTGACAGCCCAGACGATGAGGGAGAGGCCGGTGGAACCGGTGTACAGGAGGACACCCTTCGGCGCGATGAAGATCCCCGAGCCGAGGATGTTCCCCACCATCAAGCCGACGGCGTTCGCCAGGGTGACCTGTCTTTGCAGACGCACGGGGGAGCCCTTCCCTCCATTCCTGTTGTCTTGTACAGCATGATTTATGCTGCCCGGGTCCATCATTGGGCTCGCCGCGGTGCTATCACCTTGTCCACCCGCCCCCATCTCTCAACCTTCCCGAAGAAACGTTTCCTGACCAGAAATTTTACAAAACGGCAGCTGAAGCATGGCCGATCCCGAGAACGGATGGTTTGAAAAGGCAGGCTTGTGCAATACCGGCTTTTCTTCCCATGGTCCCAGCTGCCGGGACATTGCATCACCTCATGAATGTATAATCCTGATTATAATATATACATGTATTTCCATCCGCGGCGCTTGCACTGGTACTCTCCCATGCGATTCGTGTCAGATGTTCTAGTGCAAGGGCACTCTAATCAGTGGCTGCAAAATACAGTATTAAACTGCCCAGGCAGTATCTATTGGCCAGACTGTATCTATTAGCCACCCAATATCGACAAATGGATAGTCTGACCAATGGATACTGCCTGGACAATTTGATACTGCATTTTGCAGCCACCGAAACATCTGCTTGGAGATTAGGGTACTCATCTAGGTACAGGACCAAACTTTATATTGCGGAAAAAGTACATTGATGGATTAGATTATTAAACCCAGTTCTGAACGTAATGTATTGGGTTTATTTAAGCAAGGAGGTTTAAATTTAAATTTTTAACCTTGCTTGGTTTAACTTAAGAAACAGCTCGCGTGCGTTTAAGTTTAATTTGGTTAAGCCAAGGAGGTTCAAAAAGGACGTTTAGATATCTAAAAAATGTCCAGTTCACGACTGATTTTTTTCTCTTGTAATATAGCGGTGTTATGTTTGCGGTCAATTTATTCTGTACAAATAAACAAGATGGAAACACAGCGCTGTATGTACGTGTGAGACGTCAACGTCAAAACGACCATGTAGACGAACATAGCTTTTACGCAATCTCAATGACAACGTGTGGGGTCGTGTGGCGCAGCGGCAGCGTTCTCGACTCGGAACCAGAGGCCCCGGGTTCGAGTCCTGACATGCCATCGATCTTGTGCCCTTGGGAAAGGCACTTTACACGACTTTCCTCACTTCGCTCAGGTGTAAATGAGTATTGTACTGTCCCTGTGTTGGTGTCGGCATTAATATAAGTTGAAAAAACTTGAGTGTGTCGTCACCACGTCTTGTGATTACATGTTTCGGAATAAAAAAAAATAAAAAAAATGACAACTTGCCTTGCTCTTTTGCACATTCAGCAGTGTCGTAGCCTTTTTAACGTGATTTTTATTGAGTCTGACAATTTAAAAGAGATAAAGCACCTGGCCTGTACTCGTGCCTTAAGGTTGACCTCTACCACACAAAGCAGCCTTCACGCCCGAGCTATCCCTTAAGTTCCTCCCTCATGATCACGCACAGACGGCTAAAAATAGAAAGTCGGGCTAGATACTGGCGGTCGGCGGATCAACCAATCACAGGCCGCAGTGACGCAGGTGCACCTAAGGATATGGGCCAATAAAGACTGCTTACTTGATGTCATGTACTGTACTGTACAACACAAAAGACGTTAATTTCATTATTGTGAAGTACAAGGAGACTGAGCGCCTTAATTATTTATATCTGTATACATTATTGTACATAGGTCAAAGTAAAGTTGAGACCGAAGAAAGCATTGACTCTGATAGTATGAAATAACACAAAATAATAATATTTTGTTATGGAACACTATTCTGTACTAGAGAGAGTAGTCTTTTTCTAAGATCATCATTTGGTGAATTGGGCATTGGTTCAACATTTTTCTGCTACATTTGTCGTACCATTTTTATTCTTACAGAGATTCTATTGTACGTACAATGGTTTTCACGTTCCCATGTCTAACATCGCTATACGTCACGAGAATTGCTTCTGATATTGCATGATTCTGATCTGATAGGAGTTAGACATGTATAATGAGGTGGTACCTTTGGCTTTTTTAATTCAGTCAAAACCAACAGATGAGCAAAATAAAAACTAAACTCATCATGCAACTCCATTCATCTTAGGAATGTTTATGAGTGATGGCAAAATTAATAATACAAGTAATTATGGTATTTCATGACTTTTCTATACTGAAGACTTAATTTCAAAGTACATGTTGTATTACAGCATTAGGCATCGTGCAACCAAAGCAGTCTAGATTTCTACTCTCCTATACTTACTTACTCATGAATGAATTTAACATACTCACACCTCATACTTCCTTGATTATACCCAGGTTATGATTATCCATCATATATAAACTGGACACTGAATCTGACTAATCATATATGGATCTATTGGCATTTTTTTTAAATATCCAATCTGCATATCCATTATTTATGGAAATTGAGCATGGGAAGATTAATACAAGTGCCCACGCACACTTCCATCCAGCAATAATGACTTAAGATTTATGTATGTTTTAAGAAATTATCATGAGGTAATTAACAGTGGTTCACACATAATCACAGTGCAATGCAAGTCAAACCATTGGCACATCACTGCAAGGCTTTGAGCAAACAAAAGTTACCCAATGGGGTCAAATATATAAATCAAAAAGCCTCTGAGTCACTCTTTGATTGTTTAAACATCATGTTTTTTTTGTGATCTTTTACTAAAATAGCCCAGTGAGGCAAAAATGTGCAATAAAGGTCGTCATTTAATGACAGAGATAGTGTGACACTGCTGATTGTGTACAATAACGCTGTTTACAATAATGCTGTTTTTAATATCTATGATGTTAAACCACCACGCTATATTTATAGTATGGAAAACCATGTCTACATTATCAAACGTTACTTGTATATACTTGTATAATATACATTGTAATATATAATTATGTACTATATTAGCCTACAATGCTAGTTTTACTGAGTATGTGGAGTGTAAAATTTGGCTCCATTCAGTGTATACCACAAGGCCAATTTGTGCTGTGTTTTTACCAATAAACCATTTACTACATCTCCAACAGCACTGCCTGTGTTGTTGGGGAGAAACACAGTCATAATAAACTAAAATTTATGTGTGGCGACCACGAGAAGCCAGTATGGGATCTTGATGAAGGATGGGATCCAAGCGGCCAGGCGTGTGTACCCAAACATGGAGAGGGCATCCTTGATGCGCCGGAAATTTGGTGGTTGTCTCCCTGAAAAGGATAGATTAAACACAGTACTTGGTGATTTCCTTGTACACTTTACAACATCTCTTGTTTCTTACAAAGAATACATCACTGTAGTGGCATCTGTGTCTTTAAGGCCACAGCAAGTAAATTTTATGGATGACATCCTCCGCAGACTCCAAATCTAATGCGAGCGGGTGAAAAAAAAAACAAGGCGGGCCGAAAAAACAAGGTTCCTACATTTTAAAGTTTTGACTCAGTCATTGTACAAATGGTTTTGATTCGGTGGGAACATCACATATACACAGCCAGTATTACATATCACTGCATCAAGTAAGAAACAAAACATTAAATCAGAGCCTGTTGTTGTCATCTCGAGCTCTCTTCATAGTTATCTGACATCCATGTTCCGGCAACAGACATCTTTGCCGATTTTCGGCATGTTGACCACTGTCAGAGGGCAACAAAATTGTTTTTTTTTTCCCAAAATCAGGCGAAAATAAATGCGCGCGCTGATGTCATCCATAAAAATTACTTGCTGTGGCCTAACTTCAGCACCAGGAAATGGTCATTGTTGTACTAGGATCATCAGCCTGACTATAACAGAATGGAGCATTCCAAGGGCAAGGGTCTACGATGAATGACCTTTTCTGCCACCATACCTCATTCCTGACTATATGCTACTTTCAACCTGTTGCATATATGACGGGTTGACGAAAGAAAAAAATGTAAATATTATCAGTTGATTTATTATAATATAACTGTGTGGTTGATTTTCTTCCAGGATGCACAAACAAGGGAAGGCACCACACTTATGTTCAGCCTTAAGACAACGAAAGCTAGAAAAAAAAAACAATCATCACTGTTGAATTTACCATCAATGTCCTTGAAGCCGTACACCTCTGCCAACTCTGCAGTACACTGGATCTTCCCAGACCTCTGCATGATGTTTGGGTCTGTGGGAGGGCAATAGGGAAACAACAAGGATTTTAAAGTCACAACAGCTTTAATAATAACACTGTGTTGAAAAACTGTGGGTACTGTGTTGCTTACTTTGCTGATGAAATGAAACAACTCCAGTCCAGAGACATGTTTTGATTGTTTATTTGGGGCCTGTATTTGTAAGCTGGTATAACCGCCCCTTGGCACAACACACCAGCTGTTATCTATTCACAGGTTTGATTATACAATGTATATGAACGTTTTCAGGAGGAAATAATTGCATTAAACCCTGCTACTCACCAGCAGCAAGATGGACAACAGCCTTGCCAGCAAACTCTGGAGTCTCTCCCATCTCAAACATCCTCTTTACCTGCACAGCATGGCACAAAAAGACTAAGTCTTTTTGTTGGACCAAGGTTAGAATACAACAGAATACAAATACTTGTTTTTGAACAAGAACCTCTTGTGTTCAAACCTTGTTCCAACACAACATTGAAACACTCCATGAATTTTCAGTCTCGTAATCAAACAGCAAGTCAACAACTTCAATGCATTTTCTTCCAAGTCATAAAATGTTCTACCAAAGGTTTTCAAGAACGACAGAGAACTTATTGTTTAAATGCTATGCATTTTTAGTTCAATAGAAATATGATGGCTTACTGCTTCTCTGTCCATCTTCACTCCCTGTGAGGAAAAAAGTACACATATGATAGGTGACAATGGTAATACAGACACAAATGAATCAGTCTCTTCTTTAGAATCAATGATTCCTTAGTTCTATCATTGGATAATATGTATAAATATAAATGGTTTTTATTTTCCAAACAGTACCCGTACAGTCACAGCCTTTATACGGCTGAATTGTTGCAGGGTATCACATAATAATCAATACAAATCACAACAATTACAACAATCAAATAATACACATGATACACATATTTGTTCCATAATTATTTTTTGTGGAACTGTCGCAAGGGTCTGTGTGGCAAAGACACATTACTTAACTTACCCCTAAAGTATCTTGATCCCTCTCGGGATCTTCCTTGGGTCCTTTCTTGAGCATGTCCAAGATGTTCTCAGTCCTGACTGCCCCCGGCCAGAGGGAGACAAAGGCCACGTTGTCCTTCCTCAGCTCAACGGCACAGTCAGTTGCCATGCGGTCACACTGTACACAAACAATGCAACCTTTAATATAAGGCATGGTGGACAAGTTCAGTTGCATGTTAAATAGGGCTGGGTACCGCTTCAGCCGGACCGGTTTAAACTGGAACGACATTCAGGAACCCAGTCCAAAAAAACAAAACGCGAAAACCAGATCATCGGGCCTGATGTACATTTCTGTAGATTGTACATACATTTTTAGATAATATGGCCATGGCAGGTAAAGAAAATAACCCTGAATCAAACTAGATTAGCTTAAGAAATCCAAGATTATCTCTTTCTGTAACTGTGCTCAGCTTCAAGTACAACTTGAGAATAATATATCCAGTGAGTGACCTATACTTGTGTTTCTCACACCAAAATATGATATAGTGCTACTGTACAATAATCAGGTCCAGGTTTAGGTCCAGATTTGGACCTGATCCTCTGAACCTGATCTGGACCTGGACCTGAATTTTCTATACAGGTACCCACCCCTAATGTAAAGCAATTCTTGAGTCAGTATATGGCACTATGTGCTATTGAAGGTTTCTCCAATCACATTTTACACAGTCTAACCATATATCAATCGGTTACTTGTACAACTTTGTATCAGACTTTCAGAGTATTTCATACAGTATTCCGGAAACTACAGTGTGCTCTTTTTGTGAATTATAGATCTGAGGTGGTATGGAACGGAGGTAAGAACTACATATAGATTATATATTTACAACTCTTATTTGACTGTAGATGATACGTGTCTTTTTGGTTACTTTGTCTTGTCTTGCATGTATCAACACTTAATACGTATCTTAATTTTTATCTAAAAAATAATACAAATGAAGAGTGAATCTAAAAAAAACTCACTGCAGCCTTGCCAACACTGTAGACAGATTGAATGGCGTGGCCCAGGCCCCCAAAAGAGGAAATGTTGACAATGAGACCCTTCTTCTGTGGTGCCATGAGCCGTGCAGCGTACACAGAACAGATGTAGTGGTTCCTGAAACAGTCAGGAAACTCAGAGTAAGCCGTAGGCATTCTTCTCTTGGTACAATTTGGGAATATACAGTTCAGCCTAATTTAGGAGTGCACGTGCGGATGTCATCTATATAATCAAATCAACATGGCCTAAGCAAACTTCTGATAGTCCACACAGATTCCAAGACTTAGATATGTACATTTGTACCAGCAAAACCTTATGCAAAATTTGAAAGAAGAACATTCTCCTTGTGCATACTGGTAAGCCTACAGTGTGCTTCACTTTATAGAAATTCTCATACATACAAGATAAGTCTTTTGTACTGGGCTAACTGTTTGAAACAATAATGCTATGTACAGAGAGAGTTACCTCAGTCCTACATTGTTGACATCATCCCAGAATTCTGGGGGAAGAAGGTAGAATTTCTTCCCAGCAGCTGAATCTGTAAGAGCCTGGAGAAGGACACAAACAGAGATGGTTGTAACCTACAAATATATGTCTGTCAGAAATGAGGACAAGCGGATGGTGTTCAGCACCAGGGACAGGTGTGTTCAGCTGTGTGTGGATGGTGTTCAGCACCAGGGACAGGCATGTTCAGCTGTGTGTGGATGGTGTTCAGAACCAAGAACAAATGTGCATACACCTGTGTGTAGATTGTGTTCAGCAATAGGGACAGGCATGTTCATCTGTACGTGGATGGTGTTCAGAACCAAGAATAAATGTGCACACCTGTGTGTAGATTGTGTTCAGCACCAGGGACAGGCATGTTCAGCTATATGTGGATGGTGTTCAGGAACAGGTGTGCTATCTGTGAGTGATAGTGTTCAGTACAGATGTGCTTACCTGTGAGTGTGAGGAAGGTGTTCAGCACCAAGGACAGGCATGTTCACAAGTGTGAGGATGGTGTTCAGCACCAGGGACTAGGAATAGATTGATCTGTGTATGATTCACATTCAGTACTAGGGACAGGACTAATTTTCTACACATAAATCATCATCAGCAATTGCACAGATTGTCTACAGCACTATCTATGCCCTGGACAGCTCATAGTAGTACCTTTCAACAGAAAAGTGTATCTATGACAAAAGCAATCATGACACTGACCCCCACGGCCTTGTAGGCATTGTTGACAAGGATGTCCAGCTGTCCATTCTGCTCTTGTTTCACCTTTTCAAACAACTTCTTGATGTCTTCATCCTTCTCGTGGTCACACTGTACAGGGATGCACTTCCCTCCCCGCTTCTCAATCTACGTCAAGACATCGGGTTATTCCATTGTGATGAATCAGGGGAGGTAAGCTTCACAATTTGCTCACACACAGTTATCCTAAACTAGAAAAGTAACGAAGCAAATGCATAATGTTTACTTTCACATATGGTCTGCTCTGTTAATTCTTACTCAAATACATTCATATATATGGCGACATATCCCTCCTGCTATAAAATTGCAACCCAACTCATTTTAACCCAACACTAGTTACCATGGTAACAGACCTCTGGTTAAGGTCATTGACCTTATTTGTTTGGAGAACAGGAAGAAATTGAGCAAAAACAATATTTTTTTCTTTTGGTACACATGATAAGTTAAATCAGTTAAAATCAAAGGGATTAAAGGCATTTCTGACTCACCTCCTCCGCACACTCCATCAGTGACGTCCCCCTCCCATCCGGCTGCATGGTACGACCTACAAAACATCACACAATGTGGGGTAGGGCATTGTTGTCAAATATGCCATGCCACAAACAGTGCAGAAGATAGATAACGTTACCATTCTGGGATGATATTTAATCTTTTACTGGGTATAGGTTTTGTTGCAAGTAATACTTTGTAATACCAAGTTGCCAACATCAGTATGGCACAATTCCACGCAATGTATATTTCCAGACTTGAAAATGAATGACTTTTGTATTCACGAAATTCATTAGTTTATATTTTGTATGCACAGTACAAAGAATGGGTTAACGTTTAACGTTAACACGTTATACAGTGAAAAATTTGTTGATAATAGTTGGTGATATCAAGGTTTGAAACCTCAATTAATATCGGCAGCAAAAATGATAACGTCTTTTGATGATTTGGGGGTGATGGGGACTTTGCTGCTGCGTTACAGAAATGCTAGTTAGCTGAAAACTTCTGGAGGGGAGGGGGGTGTGGTCATTGGCTGAACTTTGGCTATTGTAGGCCACACTTTAAATAACATTAACCTTACCTGTGATGTAAACTGTTGCTCCAGCCTCTCCCAGCTGAAGAGCTATGCCCTTCCCGATCCCACGGGACGCACCCGTAACTACAGCAATCCTGCCGCTCAAGGGTTGGCTCATCTTGGCAGTTGTTAGTCTTCTTCGCTTCTGGTGTAAAGTTCAAAGTACATTGCAGTACCGTCGCTAGGTGGGGTGAGTGCACGGGAAACTGTAAGTGACAAAATATATGCAACTTCGATAAAATCGCTAGGTGGCGCGCATGCACTATCATCGGTCCGTGAGTGAAACAACATGGCGGACCCTCAGGGGGATCGCAAGGTTGGTTTACTTATTAGGTCACCGTTGTTTGCACTCAGGCTTTGTCCTCCTTACATTCCACACGTTGTGTTTGGATGATTTATGCGGGGGGTGGCCGCCTTAACGATACTGTAACTGGCCGCCATTTGAACTCCTGGCTGGCCGGAGTGAACCCAGCTGCACAGCGGCAGGTGCACCAGGTGTGCCATGGATGCACCTGGGACCCTCAGGAGAGGCCTCAACAAGGCCCCGGCCAGGCCTGTAACCCAGGTAGTGTGTTGAAGGAAGCGTAAGACCTTGCTGTATAAAAGGAAACGCTTGTCCGTAGAAGGAGGTTAGGTTGTTGACAATTTGAGCATTAGTGTGCAGGGGTGTGGCCTTGTGACCAGTGAATTATGATAAACAACAAATTAGGAAAGCTTTTTGCACTTAATTAAGTCTGGTGGCATCCTTCTGCTCAGATTTTCCAAATCATTGGTACTCTGGAACTGGAAAGTGTTTCGGGAATGACTATGAAATCTTATAAAAACTTGTTCTTTATGATTATTTCCCTGCCACTATTTTTCCATCCTCAGTTTCCTGCAGTGATACCGCTGAACGTCGGGGGGCATGACTACACCACTAGCCTATCCACCTTGCGTAAGTACGAGAGCTCCATGCTGGCCGCCATGTTCAGCGGGCGTTACCACGTCATCCAAGACGAGCAGAAACGCTACTTCATCGACCGCGATGGCGACTTGTTCCAGTATATCCTGAAGTTCCTACGAGATTCGGAAGTTCCTCCTCATCACGTGGCGGTACAGGTGTACAAGGAAGCGCTGTACTACGGCCTTCATCCACTCATCGAAATTCTCAAGTCATCTCCGCCGGTCCGAGCCGAGTACGAGCTGAGAGAAAGTCTTCGCAACGCCCTGCCGAAGTACAAGGAGTTCAAGGAAAAACTAGTGGACCTTGCGTACGAGTTAGCCAGTGCCTCGCACTGTTCCGAAATATCCATCCACCAGTACAGGGAGTTTTTGGTGGAGGGATTACAAGCGCAGACATTGTCCATCCGTAGGGACCTAACGCGAGACGAGAGCACCATCCTCGTTGGTCCGTTGAACGATTACGGAAAGGAGGGCCAGTTAGAGGAGTCGATGCTCCACTGTGTTTTATTCGACCTGCGAGAGGAGGGTTTCAACGTAGACTTTAGAATGCGAGAGTCTGTGTGCGAGTATTGGACTCAGAAGAACAAGAACAATGACATTCCCATGTACCACGAATTTTACGACACTGTCTGCTGTGCATTTACCTTCAACTGGTGGCCAACCAAAGGAGTAAAAAAGAAGTAAAATTTCCAGCTCTCTTGTATATTCAAGACCTTAACAAACAGAAAATGGAGCAGCTAAAGATAGAAAGGAAGTCTTCTCATGTCTGCACTGTCGTTAAAAACAAAGTGTTGTAAATATCTATTTGTTAACTGTTTTCTACAGATTTGTATAGATGTAAGTGTTTATTAGACTGCAAGATCTTACTTCAAAAGTTATCACTGTAAGGGGCCAGTAAAATCTTTAAGTTATCACTGTATAATAGGCCAGTAAAATCTTTAATCATTGAAATAAATAAAATGAGTAAAGTGGAAATATATGTTCAAAGCAAGCTGATTTTTTTTAGACGTGGACCGTCATCACATCAGAAGACAGAACTAGAAGAAACTTAAGTGTCTTACAGGTAAGAGACAGATCGTATGACATACTAGTAGCCTTATCCCCCCAAGTATGTGGTGTAAATGTTTCGTAGTGGACTCTTTGTGAACAACAAAACAAGAGGCTCCTTCAGACATAGATGGTGCTTCACAGTCAGGAATACACTGTTATATTAGGCCACAGCAAGTAAATTTTATGGATGACATCAGTGCGTGCATTGATTTTCACCTGATTTTGGTTTAAAAAAAACAAGAAATTTTGTTGCCCCCTGACAGTGAACAACATGCCAAAAATGGGTAAATATGTCTGTTGCCATGCCGGAACTTGGATGACAGATAAATGTGAAGAGAGGAGACAAGACAAGGCTTTGATTTAAGGTTTTGTCCTTTAATTTCACATTGTTGCAGTATTGTATTTCATTCCATTATATGTGATGTTGCCACTGAATAAAAAAAAATATGGTTTAACAAGGTTTATGATCTCAAAATTTGAAAATAGAAGAAATCTTGTTTTTTTTGGCCGACCTTGTTTTCTTTTCGCCCTATTGCATTAGATTTGGAGTTTGCGGAGGATGTCATCCATAAAATTTACTTGCTGTGGCCTTACTTAAGAAATACCCAACAGAATTTTTTTGGGGGTGGACCTGAAGTGGACATCCACACCAGCTGATAGAAGAGTAGTAACTCTAAAACATTTGAAAGTCTGTAGTGTTACCAAATCTTTCTGAAACTCCATGAAACACAAACAAACATGCAGCATGTTCAGATAGCACTGCCTGTATCTGAATGAAGGACTGACAATAATGCAAATAACCATACTACCTGTAGTAGTATCAGTGAATATTTCTATTTCATAACCCATTTTTATGAAATATTATATTTATTTTTAGAGTGGCTATTGTAAGGACATACATCTGCCTGCAATGTGATGTAACGTATCAGACTTTTTGTTGCAACTACAAGTATGTTTGATAACCTTCTCTTCAATAATTGCTGTTATCATTCATAATTTGTACCTATTTAATGTGAACTGACCAACAAGTGAACTCAATCATGCATGGAAAGATTTAGTGAATTTTTTTGGGTTCCTCCCTTCCTCACGTTTTGTTCTAGGATAACAAAAAAAAATTGTATTCTTTTATTTAAAGGTAGCAACCGTTTAACCCTCTAACTTACCTGTGTGCCAGCACCAACTTGGTACAGGAGAACACTTGTAGACTGCTGAAGGTTAAAAAGTTTTAAAGCAAATTGTCCCCATCAAAAAACTGGATTCTCCTGAGCACAATATTACATTCATTTTAAATTTCTCACTTATACCACTTAATAATAAAGTAATCCACCCCTTAGCATTAGCATCATTAATATCAAGAGACATACAAACACAATTTGTATTTTTTTCTTTTATTTCACCTTGATTCCAGAGACTTATCAAAAGCGAATGCTGCACTGAGAACAGGTCTGCATGGCCTTAAAGGGACATCGAACTACAGCTCTGGCACCCTGGAGTTGTCAGCAGCACATACTAGTATACAAAATGGGCAGGAAACATTTGATCAATCTCAAAACCAACGTGATTATCAGTCCAGAAGCTGGGGATGGCATAGACAGATGCAGGAAAAAGGTTTGCACTGGTCAGTGTAAAGCCCATAGGGTGGGGTGGGGGGCTGTTTGGGGTCCCAGACAAGAAGCTAATATCTTTTTGTAATAGCAGAGTTTTTCAAACAACTGGAACATGAGATTGGCCACACTGGTAAAATCTGTAAGCACCAAACCATTACACTTAATTTCTAGTTCATCTGCAGGCCTCTTTTGCGGGACTTTCACAGCCAGGTACATGATAATGGACAACGGCATTATGAAGCTGTCCATTCAGCTAAGCTAAGTTCCAAACTGCTACAACAAAGCTACACTATAGGGAGTAAGAGCACCGTCCACTACGTGTTTTTCAAACGGTTTTCCATCACCTCTGATTGGCAGAAACGTTCATGTAGCGCTCAGAAAGCCGTCCATCTGGGCATTGTAAGACACGACATATTGGTTAGGCTGTTGAAACTAGTAGCTTCACTCCCCAGCCATTTTGGTGCGATGTCCAGCTGTGGGGATGCTCTACTTTGGCGGTGGGCGGGGAGGGGGGTCTCTATGCGGAGTGGACAACCAGCCTGAAGATGTCTGAGAGGACGTAGTAATTACTTCCATCATTCTTCAGGATAAACGTCTGACTAAACCCATGGATCGGATCTTCATCCGTCTGGAAAAACAACAACATTACTGTCATCAGCATGAAAGTTCATCTGAGTTGGTAAATGACATTATGAAAAACTTAAACTTTTCTCCAACTCAAAATTTGACTCACCAGTCTGTCATCTTCTTGGATACCGAACAGGATTACTTAAAGAGAGGCATAAAAGAGGCCATATACATCAGGGAACTTCAACCATCGCTCAACCGGGACGGGGGGCGATATCGACTTCAGACAACCTTTGACCCTTTGCTGACGTCACACGTGGGAAAAATCACGTGTCCACAGCAGATAGCTGAGGAAGACTGAGTGATTCAGTTGAAAATTTCTGGTGAGTCAAATTTTGAGTTGGAGAAAAGTTTAAGTTTTTCATAACATTATTGTCATTCAGTTTGACTGTATGTGACTGACAAGTAGCTGTCAAAAACATACTGAAAAGGAGAGAAAGTAACAAGTGAAAGAAACTGAACAAAACGGATTCTTTTTACACAACCAAGAGGTTTATTCCGCTGACGTTTCAGTGTCACAGTCTGTCATCTTCCTAATGGCAATTCTGACTTGTGCACATTGCACATTAGTTGTGTAAAAAGAGTCTATTTATTCAGTGCCTTACCAACCTGATAAAACTATTCACGGAAGAAAGACAGACAACTGAGAAAACATTGCAATCACATCCCAAACTTCAACAGTTAAAGGCATCCAATGCGATTTCAGGGCAGCAAAACTGAAAATACTCTGAATAACGCAATCTTTGTTATATTGACACATACTGCTTCAGATTAGCACATTCCAATCAGTATGTCATACTTTGGGTATTTAAAACTACAGAAATAAGCCCCAAGATGAGTCATTTATCTTATGGGTGGTACCCTAAAAATCAGCAAAAGGCTCTTCCAGTAACCATTTTCCGTCAGAATTTTGGCTCTTTTTGCTCCATAAGGGTCAATATGCATTTGGATAGTGTGGTTTCAACTCATACTTGGATAGTATGTATTCAAGTGACTGCTGACTTTAAAAATTCGGGTTCCCAAGCCCTAAAAACTGAATGCCTTTAACATTACACTAATGCAATTTCATCATGACAAATGTGTGTCGTTTGAGTTGGACAGTAGTACACACCTTTAGTTGTCCTACCACCATTACAAGAACACCAAAATCTACTGTGGGTTGACAGTCAACTGTGGTGACAACGTGTTGCACCTTCTGAAATGGTAGGCTCTGAAAAAAAAGATGTCCTGATTAAATACTAGTACAAATGTACTAAGGCCACACCAATTTCTTTTCTTGGTTAACGGATTTTTGTAGAAAAATAATGGAGCGGGCGGCCATAACATGGAGGCCGACACTTGACGATGCCCGATGGCAATGTTTTCTTCATTTTGCAGCACAGATGTTGCAATCTATGGAAGGTTTTAGATGGTTTGGAAAGAAGAGGGGTATGTGACATGTTTTTTTTTTTGTTTAATAACTCTAGAATCAGTTCTTGACTTTTAGGTTTTTTGGACCTAAACAAATTTACGAGTCCGGAACCAGTCCAGCAAACTGGTACACAGCACTAACTGAGCCTCAAACAAAGATGTTCAAAATGGACTCCTTCAGCAGGGATGAGTAAAGTCTTACCACAAGTTTCTGTACGATGGCCTCTGGACCCTGGTGCTGCGCTCCTTCAAATGTCATCATGGACTCAGGTCTCTGTCAGGACGAGAGGAAGAAGAGACACTGGATGTTAAGGACAGATTCTTTCTAAACAGGCTTGTCATATTAATGACATGCTGTCACAGGTTGGATTACAGTATATGTCTGTTAAACATTTCAAAATGCTGCATACTACTATGATACTAGTAATCTGTTACTTACACTGATGCCTGATGCCAAATGACCACAGTGTAATGTAGTGACAAGCATGTGGTATATACTTATGTTTTTCTGCCACAAATTATACTTCATTTTCGTTTTAAGGGCATAACATACCTGGTCTGGATAAGTTTCAAACTACATGTACATAACACATGCATGTTTTTTTCCACTTTATTACCTCCATGAAAAATGGAGGTATTGTTTTTGGCCTGTCTGTGTGTGTGTGTGTATGTTATTGTATGTATGTGTGTGTGTGTGCGTGTGTGTGTGTGTGTGTGTGTGTGTGTGCGTGTGTGTTTCCGCACTTATAACTTCATAACGCCTTTATGGATTGTGATATTTGGTATGCAGGTAAATCTTAGGAAGCCGAAGGTCAAGGGCAAATATGGGCCTCCTGGTGGCTGACCTTGGTACTGCAGCAGAACTTCCAGGTTTGTAAGGCAGGGAAAACAGATGTGCTGGTTATGCAACAAAACACCAGCGGTCAGCGCGCTGGTTTGATTAATGAGGTTCTCCCTCTGACCTACATATTTCAGGCCAAAGGTGCTACTGTATAATAGTGTATTAGTTGTGTGTTTGAAAACAAAAGCCTGTGTTATTTTGTTAGAATGTACTGTAGTATAGTGTGTAAAAACATTTACAAAAACTCATATTTCATGGAGGTATGAGATCTCCGATTTCTTGTATTTATTTTGTAAGGATGCATTACTGACTACGTTAATTTTATCACTTATCAATCTCATAATTTTAGATTTATCTCAGGTGACAAGTTGTCTAAAATTTTCTGATATATCTAAAGGCTTGCCCATAGCTTCTAGAAACTTCTAATGTTCTATATATTGATGCGCCTTCTCTGTAAGCTTGCTAAACTGTCAGGCTAGAATTTTGGGTGGGGCAGTGCAGATTTATCTCATGATGGATGTCCATGCAATCTGGGGCACAAAATTTATATACTCGTAAAATTATTTGAAGCATTGGTCACATGTGGATAAGGTACAGCATAAATATTTAACTGTTATACTAAACTATAAGACAAGGTAAACAAGCAACAGCACTTCTCAATTTCATAATTCAAGCAATAATTCTGCTTTCGAGCATCAGATTACAGCTTTTCTTATCAAATGTAGGTTTGTAGGACACATGCATCGTCGCAAGCTTATAGACATTAAAAGATATAGAACACACAGAAGCTGAAAACATGCATGGTCGGTGGAGCATCGAGCATACACGGTCATGGGGGGAGGGGGGCACAGAGCCGAGCAAGCAAAAAATATTTCAAGTTCTTACATAGAGTGCGGCAAGTGTAGAGCGATTCTCATCAAAAGCTTTGTAGTAGAAGTCTACAAACTGTCTGCCGATAGAGTCAAATTGCGGGTTCATCGTCCAGGTCTCCGTATCCGCTAACAACTCGTGAAGTTTTCTCGAACTGAACTTTCGAGAGTCCAAAATGGGCCAAAAAATGGCGGCAACAATATGTAGTTACCACCTACTCCCATGATGCATTGGAGCTGGGAGGCAAAAGTCACAAAAATGAGCGGTAAAATTGACATAACCAAAGACAGAAATGTGCAGATGCGATACATATTTGTATTTAACCACTCAATAAACAGCGATGCAGTTGCCAAATAAATTCTGACAATTATGAAATTAATCACAAATAAAGAGTCACGTGATTTTATTGGCGGCCATTTTGAACAGGTTTGTTTCGCAGTTCTGAAAGAAATTTTGGCGCTGCAGTCGTTTGAATCCTAATTTACCGTTTCCTGAGGACATTTCTCCTTCGGAAAAGAGCTCTCTTACTGCGTATTTTTGGACGTAACAATTCAGGTAATGTCTTTGGAACCATGTCTATATTCTTTGCGTGAAAATGTAAGTTTGCCTTCTCACCCTCTCTTAGTCTTGGTGCAAAGCGCCGATTTGGGGGAGGGGGGCAGAGGCTACTTACTGAGTATAATTTTTGACAGGCCTTCCACATTAGCCTTCACTCTGCCAGGGGTTTTTCTAAACAGGGGAATAAAGGAGCTGCTCCCTCATGTAACCAGCCAGCTCCCTCATACCAATTTTCAGATTGAACCTTAAGTGGCTACTTACACACCATTTTAGTCTTTCTTAAAATGATCTTTTTTCAGTGAAGATGTAAAAACAATACAACAATGCATTCTAGCATTACAAACTGTGTTACTCTCATTAAAAAATCCCCCCTAGGTCACTTCACTCCCTCAACATGCTTGCAATCTACTCCCTCATGCTAAATTTTTCTAGAAAAACCCCTGCTCTGCTATTGTTAAAGTTTCAGACTGTTAAAAAATGAAGCCCCCCTACGGACTGTTGCCATCATAGTGGTAGAAATTATTTTTTTCAATGTTTTGCAATATTGCAGGTGAGTCAAAATTTTGTTCTGCAAATATTATAATTTTGGAAACACTTCTTGCAAAATTATACACAAGCACCCATAATACAAAATGTACAACCTTCTCAATGTATAAAGCAAAATTGCAGATTGTAGGATTTTTCTTAATCTACAAGCAGATCACTTTCGGTGGCAAAAAGACAGTATCAAATTGGCCAGGCAGTATCCATTAGCCAGAGAAGGTTGGTACATAAAAAACGGCCATAACGTTACATAAAGAGGTAACGATCATTCCCCCACAACCTCTGCTTGGAGAGTAGATTTTTCTGTCCAATATTGTAAATCTCTCTGCAGAATTCAGATGGGTTTTTCGAACATTGCATCACTATATATCGTATTCACCATTAACACGTCCCTTTTCCCTTTATTCTTAAACTGTAATCTCCTAATTATATATTCCTAGGACAATTTATATAGATTATGTCCCTGTATATTCCAACAGAAAATGGAAGCAGGTGAAGAGAGTGAGACTCCGCGTACCCTGATCCGCGGGGTTCTAGCCCACCTCCCTGTGAGTGACAGTGCCGTCAAGTCAGTAGCCGATACCGGCAGGGAGAGACGGTCGTCTGTGGCTGATGTACTGCGTGCTTCAGGCTCAACATCAGCAGCGAAGAAAAGGAGAATCAGCACAGCTTCACCACGAACACTGGTAAACTATGTCTTACATGTATTTACATGTCTTACTTGTGGGGTCATGTGGCATAACGACAGAGCATTTGACTCAGAACCAAGAGGTCCCTGGGTCTAATCCTGCAAGTCCTTGGGCCCCTAGGAAAGGCACTTTACACAACTTTCTTCACTTTGCTCAGGTGAAAATGAGTATGGTATGCCAGAATGATCATCATGATCGTGAGCAAACTCAACAATGTTGGTCTGGAGTAGGTTTGTAGTAGGTAGGTTAGCCTGGCTGGAGTTCAGCCATGTTAACCTTTGGTCCGCTTCCCAAGATCTGCTCTCCCGCCAACAAAGCTAACGAGGCTGGACATGGATGTGGCATTATGCCCAGTGTTTGGAGTCACTCATCATTTTCCCCCATAATGTATTCCCATAAATTATAATATCTTATTGATGTCGGTCAAAAGTATGACTTTTTGTCAGAGAATCATTTGCAAGTATCAAACTTCCTTACTTTGGGATATACTGGTAAAGCATGGAACAATAATTTTTTTTTTTTCATGACAAAATTTCCTTGCGGTAAAAATGCACTATGTCATTTCTTTATATTTTGCATTGGGCATTGTGAAAAGTTGGTTCGGGCAAGTAAAAATGACTCAGGTCGACCATGAGCTTGCCCGATAGGGCAAGTGGAATTTTGAAAACCTGTCCAACCCTGAGATTGACATGAAGACCTTCCCTTGGTCCAGATCCGAGGTGTTCTGGAGACCCAGCCCACACCTGAGAACACCACAGAAGAGCCGGCCAGGAAGGTTGCCAGGGTAACCCCACAGGTCAGAGGTCAGCCTCCCCCCAGCCATGGTGGTTCTGGACAGGGAACAGGGCCAACGTTTGCTTCACCATCAGGTGCAGACTTAACACAACATGCAAACATGCTATATTCTTTCTTATAGCAGTGATCAGATGTACCAGCATATTTTTTTCTGTATCTACTGATACTGTAATTCAAAAGGTCGCAATCTGACAAAAATGGACAGGTTTGCGGACCTTCATGATGGCAGTACATGAAGGTGCAGAAAAAAGAAAGTTGGTGATTATTTGTTCCGGGTAATGATAAGTTCATCGTACAGTGAAGTGACCACGAAAACCGACGACTCAACATCGACAAATCATGAATTACAGTAAACAGGCAAAATGTCCTACACGACACATCGTCTTCCATTATCAGACACCGTGACAGCAGCAGGTAAGATTCCATATTAGTGCAGTGTTCTCGCCAGGCCTTTTGACTAATTTGAGCATGGGGACCCCAGGCCCTGTACCATAATTTGGACCCCTATGCTGTCTTTCAAATTCAAAAATCCTGGTGAGAACCTAATTCTACGTGTTCCTTGCGTTCTATAGGTTCAGCCCCGAGAAGCCTCCGACAGAGCGTGCGTAGAAGCGCCCGTATCAGTACGGCCAGCCCAGGGTCAGCTCACCTCACCACCAGGAGGCAGGTGGGGAGGGTGAGCTCACTCTTCACCCCGCAGGACGACGCCACACCGCGCACCATGCTACACAACGTCCTGCACGTCTGTTAGTACATCTCCAATCATTCTTACATTGCTTTACAAAATAAACTACAACATATACTGCACAGGGACCTCCCTAAACAATGGAGCAGTGGAGCTCCTCCACCCAGTCCTTATCTCAGCTCCACCCTGTTAATTTTCAAAACTAGTGTTTTTACACCCTTTTCCAGGGTTCTTTGGTCAAATTTACCGATATTTCGCACCCTCCTCCATTCTGTCCTAAATTTCTGGGGAGATCCCTGCTGCAGGGCTCGAAATTAAAGGTGTCCCGATGGCCACAGACCACTAGAATTTAGGCTGGGACAACTAAGAAGACACTTTGGGACATTTTTGGGGGACAATAATCAACATCAGAATGTCAGCCCTTCTTTTGTTTATCAGGCACACGTCACATCTTTTGGATCTGGAAAAATCCCCCCGAATTTCCTGTCTACTCTGCAATTATAGTGCACCTAGGAGTGAACATAAGTGAAATCTAAGTTGACTTAAAGTTGAAGTCATACAATACTTTAAACAAAACAGGTTGGGACAGTTCATCCTCAAAAGTTTTACCAGTATTACGAAGAGAATCACAGAAGATTACAGAGGCACTCCCATGGTAACAGTCATTTTGTAGATAACTTTTTGAATGATAATAGAGGTTGTTTGGAGAAATCACCTTGTTTGTCAGCAATGTTACTTTGGACTGTGATGACAGTTGTATGTTTCTGTTGTCTGACAGTACCAGTTGAGAGCCCTGCCACACACAGCCAGGCTGAAGTGTCCCTACTGGAGGAAAGTACCGGCACCCCAACAGTGGAGCCACCAGGGATAGAGCAGGTGCAGATGCAACAAAGGTAAGTATAAAAGCTGATAGCAGTGATGTTATTACTTCATTTCATAGTTTCTAACTGCAATGGTCAGTCTTGAGACTGTGCGCTTGCAAGCTTAAAAATAAATGAGAAACATGTAACACCTCATTTAGTAGCCTGGTGGTCTAACCTTTTTTAGCTACCAACTGTCTTTTGTCCTCTCTGCAAATACAGAGTATAAAATAGGTTTTAAAAAAAGTTACAACAACAGGCTATTCTTAATCACCACAATTTTTTCACGGTACTTTTCTATTCAGGATTTTCGGGGTCACTTCTATACTGCAAACTTATCATTACTGTACCTTTTTGCTGCACCTGCCGCCACTGTGAACATATATTTCCGCGAACCTGTCCGTCTTTCTCAGACCAGGAACGTTTGCTACCGCGAACATAAAGTGATTTACAGTCAGGGCTCGAAATTAAAGGCGGTCAAATGGCCACTGACCACTAAAATTTAGGCTGAAAGAACTAAAAAGACACTTCGGGACAATAGAAAAATAATCAACGTCAGAATGTCAGCCCTTCTTTTGTTTATCAGGCACACGTCCAGGCTTTTGGATCCGGAAAAGTCTCCCCCCCCCTCCGAATTTCCTGTCTACTCTGCAATTATACTTAGTAGTTGTGCCTGGGAGTGAACAATTATGCAAAATTAAGTTGACTTCAAGTTGAAGTTATACAATATTTCCAAAAAACAGGTTGGGACAGTTCATCCTCACTTTGGGATAATTGAAACTTATTTTTAGGACAGTGCTGGGACAATAGGAAGAAAAGTTTATTTCGAGTCCTGACAGTATTACTCATCTACTGCATGTGTGTTTGACTTCTCAGTGCCCAGCCCACCCCTGAGCTGGACCTGTCCCTGACCGTGCCCCGGCATGGCCGTGTTACTCGCCACACACACAGGACACACGTCACACTGGAGCAGTTCGCTGCCGGGGTGGAACAGAGACTGGCAAGTCAGGAGGCTCAAACTCAAGGTATTCAGCAAACCTTTGAATAGAAAATTGGATTGTCCAAGTATCATCCAATGTACTATTTTGGCTAGCTTGGCTTCAGTTCTTTATCTATATAGCCCCTCAGTGTAACAGACCAGCCTCGCAGGGAAGCATTGTAGCACGACAGCGGTTGGCTACATTACACTTAACTCTAAATATTGTTTAAAACTATCTAGTTGGGTAGAAGATTGTTGTTTTACTGAATTGGCTACAAGGCTACAAGGGTGAATACTGTCTGATCTACTAGTATGTATTGTGATGCTAGTTTTGAGAACAAATTTCATAGGATAGGACTTTTGTCACAAAAATCAGGCATACCTTTGTCACAGAGGAACTGTAAGGTGATTCAATGTGGCACGAGTGTCAAATGTTCATGTAATGCACACAGTATTATGTATTATATTTGGAAGGAAGCTCGACTGTTACTATGTGCCCTGGTACATAGTAATAAATAGTAATAAATAGTAATAAAAGTTTTATTAATAAATACATAGTAATAAAAGTTTTCTGTTCTCCTGTATTATGTTTAGAAGGAGGGGAGTCAATAGAAACTCCAGAGACAGGTGACTCAGAAGACCAGACAGCTGCAGCAGTGAGTGTAGCTGAGACAAGTACACCTGCTGTGACAGGCGGTGAGATCAGACATGCCGTGAGAACAGAAGATGTACAAGAAACAGATTCTACACAAGGGACCACATCACAGACCGAGGTGGGAGCCAGCTCGTGTGAGGGTGATGATGAGATGTCATCTCAAGAAGTAGGGAACCATTTTTGCTTTCTGATGTTCTGTTGGATAGCTTGACAGATTAGTAGTATTCAGTTGGAAGAAGGGGGTTGTTAGGGAGGCAGGGCTCAAAATTCATTTTTGGAGTACATGTACATGTAGGTGCACTGATGCACCCAACCTAAAAAAAATTGGGTGCACAAAAATGTTTTTGGGTGCACCATATAAAATGAATTTAGTAGAATGCCAGCAAAAACTAATTGTTTCATTTCTAAAGAAAATTATTACAACAATGATTTTATTTTTCTGACACTTAGATGTTAAGAATAACCTTTATACTACTACACATTTAACATCTTTACATACGTAAACCTACGAATATATACTCGGTGCACAGCACCAAATTTGGGTGAACTAAGGTGCATATGCACCCAGTATTTTTAGCCCTGGTTGGTAATGATGAAAAGGCTCTTCACTGCATTTTAGCTATTTGAATGATAAAGCCGTTAACATTGTTCACCATTTGCTGTCGATCATTGAAAAATCATTTCATGTATATCGTACATGTACATTGAGATCACAGCTTATCACATTTCCATGTTTACATCTAGACAGTTTTACAAATTTCTCTTTGATCCTTTCTTGTTCAGGACAGGAATGCTGGCAGTGTTGCTGACGTAATATACACCCAGGAAACTCTGTACAATGAGCGCGCCCAGTCACAGGGGGAGTCTGATGGAGAAGAGTTTGTACCAGAGACACAGATGTCAGTCCAGCAGGATGACCACCCATCTGCTCGGGACACTGACCAAACACCAGGCCCCTCCTCAGCAGCAGACGACGGTCACTCCGATGGGGAAAAGTCGGCAGACCAGGGTGAAGAGGTCCTGTCAGACGATGACATGTTTGAGGACAGGGCAGCAGGAATGGAGAACAGATACCAGAATGAGGAAGTAGAGGAAGATCACGTGATAGACGAACAGGAAGGCGACGGGGAAGAAATTGATGATTCGTCTGAAGAAGAGAATAACGCACCTGGAGATGAATTTATGATTTCATCTGCCGTAGAACATGCAAGGTTAGAATACATAGATTCACCACACCACGAATTCGAAGTGGTTCTACAAATGTACATGTTCCAACAGCAGAAGGCATTGGAAGATACCATTGCTGCATGGGGGTATAGACTATCGAAACACTTCATATTTTGGACAGGGTTGATTTAGGAACAGTCCATTTGTGCGGGAGGGGTATAGGTCCATTTTTGGTACAAAAACATGTAAGGGTGATGTGGTGAAGCCATCTGCTCCATCTATATTGATGACTAAAATGTGGTTGTTACTTAGTCTAACCAATGTGTTTCAGGTCTCCACTGAAGTTACCAGCCCAGCAGCAGGCCAAACCTGTGCGGCAAAAACGCAGGAAGACGCCAGCATCCAACAACTCCCTGCCACGTGCGTACACCAAGAGCATCTTCTCCAACTTCTGTAAACGTCCCGTGTCCAAGGACGCCATGGAAGCAGTGGAAAAGGGGCAAGTGAAACAAGATAGACCTGTTTCATGTTTTCACAGATAGCATACTAGTATATAATATATGGTGTAAAATCTCTACAGTGAAACTTGATTATATTGCATCAGAGCAGTCTTTGTCATTTTCCCAAAGAATTGAACCCACTATCAAATTGAAGCAGAACTAGAAAGGTAACATTTGCAAAGCTTCGCCCATGATCTGCTCTGCAGCTCTGTTAATTCTTACTCAAATACATTCATATACATGTAATATGGTCAGACAGGAGTCTAAATCCCTCCTACTATAAGATTGCAACATTATGTAACCCAACACCAGTTACCATGGTGATAGATGTCAACAAATCAGGTCATTGGCCAGGTCAGAGGTGAGTGTTTGGAGAGGAAGAAGAGGAAGAAACTGAGTAAAAACAGTATGTTTTCCTTCGGTAAACATAATTAGGACAATTTTACTGTTCACCATTCCTAAAAAAAAGCTTCCCAGGAAAGCTGTTGAAAAAGTCTGTTATTAATTTTGTTCTGTATTTGTTTTAGCTGTGAGAAGTTCTTCCACAACCTGTCCACAGACCTGATGATGTATGCCATCCACGGACACAGACAGACCATCCAGGAGGCTGATGTGGAACTGCTCATGAGGAGGTGAGATACAAAACATCTCTTTTCTATGTACTGTTCTGGATCCAAGACGTGTGACTGGTTGTAACTTACCTTTATGACTCTATACGTATTACAGTGTTAGAAATACCCACCTGCAGTCTCCATTTTACAGAGACATTTTCAATTTAAGAAAAATTAAGCAACCTGCAATTTCGCAGACTGAAGAGCTTTTGTGTTTACTACAGACTCTATACTATACAAGTAGTTTTGCATATATTTTTCAAATTGCATATGTTTGCCAACATGCAATTTTGTACATGTATATGCGATCACGGATCGATGAGTTTAGATCCTGACTTTTTAGTGTGTATTTGCAGAAAGTATTTCCGAATTGCAGAACAAACTTTTGACATTCTGCAATATTGCAGAACACTGAAAATAAGTGTTTCTACCACTGTATTACCTCCAGACATGCTAAATATTATATGCAAAACTGCATTTTCTTTACAAAAAGTATATAATTTATAAAAGTCTTCCCTGGTTTCCTGCACTTAAGTTTTAACCTCTTTACACAGAGACATTGACAGTGTTTTTTTCTGTTTGCAGGCAACGTTTTGTAACAGAGAAGCAGTCACTGAATTCCCTCATAGAGAAGTACCTTCCCTTGGAGGACAGGGAACAGCTCATTCCCATGGCAACCAGTGGTAACAAAGTCATCCCACACAGTAGCAAAGGAAACAAGTAGATTTCTGCATGGCGTCATGTAGTGCTGTGTACCTGTTCACTGGACCGGTTCCAGACTTGTAAAAATGTTTAGGTTCAATTTAAAAAAAAACTAAAAGTCAAGAACCGATTCCGGACTTATCACACAAAAAAACATGTCACATACCCCTTTTCTTTCCAAACCACCTAAAACCTTCCATAGATTGCAAAATCTGTGCTGCAAAATGAAGAAGAAGTGTCAGCCTCCATCTTTTGTGGCCAAAGTTTTGCCCAAACAAAATTGCAAGGTTGCCAACATGCAATTTGTACATGTCATGGGTTTAAGTCCGGACTTATGAGTCTGGAACTTAAACCTAAACCTCTAGACTTGAATCCAGACCTGAACCTAAATGTGGGTTTTGGTACACAGCACTAGCATCATGTCCAGTGTTTCAAAGCACTAGTTTCACAGGCAACATCCCTTGTACAATGTTTTTGTATACAGGATGAAGTTTTGTACAGCATACTAAAAAAGATACTGAACACTGGTAGTTAGTGCCACAATGGCCTGCAATTAATGCGTGTACACTAACCACTGAAATGGACAAGAGAGGGTCTTCATTAAATGAATAAAAGAGGTGAATGGCAATGTGGAAAGATTATAAAAGAGATGAAAGATGATAAAATGGAATAGCGATAACAACAATGGTTTCTGATGAAAAAACTGTATGTAGAAACTTTATTATGCAACATGTGATATATATGTAGTTTTGTTTTTGTATAAGCACTTGATAGAGCTAGAAAGATGAAGATAATTCTACATTCCTAACTTCAACTTTTGTACTTAACAACTGTTTGAGCTCATACCTTTGTCTCAACAATTGTGTTTGAATTACCTTAAAGGCTTTGAAAAGTGATATATAGCTGGACAGATCATGTCAATAAAAAAAAACTTCATTATTAAACATTTGTACTGTCCAATATAAGAATTCTATTTCTTCTTCTCAGTTGAACTTTCATGCTCATCACTTTCATACCCAGAATTTTCCCAACTCTGTTCACTGTCTGAATCAGTCTCCTCTTGCATGTCTCTCAAGACTGTGCCTGGATCCTCATACACTCGGCCCAACTTTTTCTTGTGCCTTTTCCTGTAGGTTATTTCTGGAATGTCCACTGCTAGACTGTCCCATTTCATGGCCCTTGCCCTATTTTGCATAATCTGTTTGTTCAGAGAATGATGGTCAATGTCAAAAAGTGGCGTCCTATCTATGAAGTTATCTCGAAGGTTCAGTTCTTCCTCAAGATCAGACTCTTTCTCATCAGACTCCAGGTTTTCAGTTGTCTCCTCTTCTTCTGGACCAAAGTCGGCAGTTGCAAGTAATCTTTCTACTTCGTCAACGACAGCTTGCTCTTTGTCTTTGATAAATACTAGAGGAGGAACTTTTCCAATGACATGGAGCTGTATCAGCATATGTCTGTAGGGGAGAAGGATTAAGTAGGTTTGGACACAGATACTTATTCATAGAATATCAAAACAGAACTAGAAAGGCCAATATTTGCTTTGGAGCAAATACAGCGATGGGTTCACCACATTTTACCACATGGCAGGGAAAGAATGAGAAACACAAGGGAAAACAATGATTTAGTAATTACATTGATATAACTATAATATGAAGTAACATACAACTAAAACAACAGTTGGATAGCTATTCCCTACTTTATTGGTTAGGATTTTTAATTGCATAATGCAAACTGTTGATTTTCAAAATAAAATAAAAAACGTTCATGCCCCGCATTCCAATGCTGGAGCAGAAAAGCTTGAAATACCTACCAAAACACTTGAATAAAGACATACTGTCAGTATGGAAATGCTCTGTGCAGGTGTTAATCAAGTTAAATCCCAACAGCCAATCAGCAAGAAATGCTCTGTGCAGGTGGAAATGCTCTGTGCGGGTGTTAATCAAGTTAAATCCCAACAGCCAATCAGCAAGAAGTATAGAGGAAAGCTGCATGCCTATTGGTTGATGCCCTGCATTCCATTGTGATGACTCATGCCCAGACGTGGTAAACACGGCACACTAACACAGTAATACATTTGCTATAACACAGCCAAAAAAACTCAAATAAAACCATTCTAAAAGCCTGTATCACAAAAATTTAAAAAACGCCTAGGGGTATTTGCCCACTGTACCTCCATACCAAATTTCAGGACCTTAGGCCCTAAAATGAAGAAGCTGAATCCATTTAAAGATATGGCAGGAGGAGAAGGAGAAGAAACATCAGAAAAAGCAATATGGGTTCACCACCACTTCGTGGTGTGGTGAACCCATAATGAAAGTTCATCTGTGTTAGTACAAGTCATGAAATAAAGGCTAAGCTTTAACTTCCAACACTTAGACTACAGGAGTGAAGGAGGCGGTGTAAATAAGAGCTCACAGACTGTGACAGAGAACAGAGACGGGGGTGACAAGTTATCTGGCACGTATGACACGCTACTACAGTCACGTGTCTCTGACGTCACGTTCCAAGAGTAGACAGGTCAATTCCATGCATAAGGTTGATGGAGTCAACTGAAAATTTGGGGTAAGTCCTATTTCTGTAGTCTAAGTGTTGGAAGTTAAAGCTTAGCCTTTATTTCAATATCAAAACAGAATATTCTGTGGCCGATAACTTTCAACTGACAACCAACATGACCAAGGGAATTGCAAAGCAATACGATTGTATCAATCACAACAGGTTAATTTTATTTGAATGAAATCCTGATCCAGTATTCAAAAAATAGATGTTACCTTAATTCAAAACGGGACCTGTCTAACAATTCCTCGATGTGTTTGTCATCATCAAATCCTGGTGCTCTCCAGTACACCCGTGCTGTCAGGAAGTCTGGAGTCACAGACACCTAAAAATGGAGAACATGTTACACATAAGTACAGATGTAAATGTTTACCGAAGTTTTTTGGACATGCTACATGCTTCTTTCAGATAACATCCTGGATATATTTTTACACCTACTCTCTAGTACTGCTGAGGCCATGTTGATTCAATTATGTGGATGGCATCCGCGCCTGCATGAATTTTCGTCTGTTTCCAAAAAAAACTTTTCAACCATACTGTAAATCGTACAAAATGAGCAAATATATGTGGTATGTTGCAAAGGAAGTATGTCATAGAATGCCAAAATCAATTCAGGAAAAGAAGAAAATGTGAAGAAATGAAAATTAAGAGTATTATTGTTCCCCATACCGTACTCTGTGTGTTTAGTCATTTAATCAACCTTTATGACCACATAGATTTCATAATGGAGGAAACTTTTTTTGCCATACTTTTTTTTTATTCGCACGCTTGCGTCAGTTTTAGGGTTCCCAGAGGATGTAATCCATATAATCAAATCAACATGGCCTAAATTAGAACCTCCTTGGCATGCCCCCACTCAGTTATAGCCTACAGCAAGATATTTTGGAGTAATGTATTAAGATTTAGAACTTATCAGTTGTTTGACATTACCTTGGTGATCTCGACCTGTGCATCCTCCAGCTCTTGGCTGACCTGACACCCCTGTACCAGGTCTGTGATGTGTTTGTGCAGAGTGGTGTTCACAACGCGCTGGCGGATAGACTCAGTGTGCTGGGCCTTCTGCTTTACTGGGACTTCAACACCAGTCTTTTGGGGCTGGAAAAAAATGACAACCATCGCAGTCGAACACTCATCCTTCCATCCCTTTCTGATTATGAGATCATAATGTTACTGACAAGACATTGCAATATTGTTTTTAACTCTAAAATAGGGATTTACTGTCTTTCTTACATGCTACTAGTAGGTAAATATATGGAAACAGAATATTTTTACTTTTTCTGCACTACCACAAATAAGGAGCGACACTTACCAGTTGTGGCACGTCATAGTAGAATTTCTTCCTAGTGGTAAAGAAGAATCAATTTGAATATTGTTATACGAACATTAACTTAATTACTAGTGAATTGAAACAAACTAGCAAAATATAATGGTAATCCTTTAACCTTTGAGTATCAAACTGGTGGAAGACAATACGCAGTTCAAATTTTTTTTTAAATTCCAAAAGTTGCAAAGAACACAAAACCATCTGGAAATGGACTTGGCAAGACCGTAGCTTTGACCATGGAGGTAGAAAATATATTAGAACGTGGCTATATACACTCCCGGAGTGTATATAAAATCTATTTGTCTTTTATATACACTCCGGGAGTGTATATAAAATCTATTTGTCTTTTATATACACTCCGGGAGTGTATATAGAATCTATTTGTCTTTTATATACACTCCGGGAGTGTATATAAGATCTATTTGTCTTTTATATACACTCCCGGTGTGTATATAAGATCTATTTGTCTTTTATATACACTCCCGGAAAGTTGATAGGGCATTCGAATGATCTGTCTCCGGTGCGAAGACCGCGCGATCGGCTGTGTTATCCGGAGTCACCAAAGGGACCGGGGCGAACCCCGGGTTGGTCTTGGTCTGATAAATGCACGCCAGACCGTGAGGTCGGCGCTTCTTCCGCATGTATTAGCTCTAGAATTACCACAGTTATCCATGTAGGATGTGACGATCAAAGGAACCATAACTGATTTAATTAGCCATTCGCAGTTTCACTGAGACAGTTTAAACTTGCACGTGCATGGCTTAAACTTTGAGACAAGCCTATGACTACTGGCAGGATCAACCAGGTAGCGAGGACGCCAGGGGCGCGCGACCGGTCTCGCCGCCGCCGCCGGGAGCGGAGGGTCCCGGGCCCCGCGCAAGCAGGGCGGGGCGGTCCGCTCGACCGAACTTCGGTGGAGATTTCCGTGTTGTTTTCTGATTTTCATCATCCAATAAGATAAACTTGAAGACCGAGGTTTAAACTTGGTGCCCCTGAATCCTCAAACACTCACAAAAACCCAAGTTTTGGGCCTACCAAGGAGGCTAGTATTTCGGAGTGTATATAAAATCTATTTGTCTTTTATATACACACCGGGAGTGTATATAGCCACGGCGAATATATTATGCTTTGACATACTGTAAATATAACGGTTATGGGTAGCACAGAAACAGACTCACCCTGCCTTCTTCATGAATTTCTCCAGAGGGTTCATCTTCTCTCTCTTTTTATAAAGTATATGGGTTGCCGAGAGATGCCTTTGGCACAGAGTACAGGGCTGGGAAATCCTTAAAAACAACGTAAACTGAGAAAAAGTTGACCGAACCGGCAAAAAACACATGGTGGCAGCCATCTTTGTCGTAAAGACTAAACCATTCAGGTTTCAGGGGTGAAATTAATTGATGCACATCAAATGTAACAGATTTCATGAAGTTTTGTAGAATATCTATATAACTGTAAAAGAATACAATTGTATCAAATGTCCTATAATAAGCGTAGAATTTAAGATAAAGCATCACATATGTAATACAAATTACCCCTATAAATAAAAGTGCGCTGGTCTAACAATTTCGAGTAGGAAAACATAGCATGACATTTGAAAACATCCAAGCCAATATTGAATGGAAACTTATAAAGTCTTTTTCCTCTAGATAATTTCATACATTGTTATAGTATGTATGATATGATAAATTGGTATTGTTTTAGTGGCTTTTTAATGTTATGTATCTATAGAATCGACAATTGTCAAATATTGAGCTATGCTTACGTACGCGGATTAAATAGAGTTCAGGTCCGGTTGTGCCATGTCTTCCCGTGCTTTGAGAAAACTTCGTGGGGAGCAGGGTCTTCCGGACATTGTTGCCGACCTTGGAGTCGATATCAGTAGCGAGGAGGAAGACGTTCCCCAGCCGGTTCCAACCGGCAGGAAGAAGAAGAAGAAACCGGTGCAAAACCCCTTCGATCTGGTGAGTTTTTAAAACACAATATGGGAAGGGGGGACGGGGGAGGGGGTTGTGCAGGGGGTATAGGGCAATATTAGAGTCACATTCACGCCTACCTATCTAATGCTTTACGTTACTACGTTACAGTTTAATAGTTGATGATATGTTTAGAGTGTGTGCCAATTGGCACATACAAAAATGACACTGTTGCACCTGACCCCAAAATTATGATAACATACATAAGTTACATAACGATAACTTCAATTGGCACCAAGAGTAAATACCTAGATAGACTTTTTGACTCTGAACTGAACCACGCGAAAACAAGCACCAAGTGACCACGTCTAGCGATATATTAGACGTTAAACAAGGACAACAACAACAACAAAAATAATTGGTCATTTGATAAATATTTTATTGGCAATTTATTACACAATCAGCACTTCATACTTACATGTCTAGTGTCACAGAATAGTCTGTGAATTGAAGAATTATAATTATATCTACTAGTATATGGTTATCAGTTTATACTGTAATTTGTGTAGATCATTAAACTTTTGCATGGTTTTATTTTTTGCAGTTTTTTCCGGTGTCCTCTCCACTATGCATTGATGACGACGCAAATATGACTGCTGTACAACAAAATTGTTTCTTTTCACCCTCAAATTTAAACTCGCAGTCACCAAGTACAGTAGAAGCATTATCATTAGATAGCTTTCTCACCTGTATTTCTCACCTGTAGCCGGTCAATAGGTACCCTGTAAGGGTAATGAGACCGCACTTCGGGTAATTTCGGCGGTAGCAGTTCTACTCCTGTGTTCAGTACGTAAAGGTGTAGTTGTACATATCCTGGTGGTTCTTCCACTCGTGTGCAATATGGTTCTTGAACTCATTTACTGATTTGCTGGACACTGCTTCCTGGGAAAGAGAGTTCCACACACTTGTGACTCTTGAAGAGAAGAAGCACTTCCTCGTCCCGTGTGATTTTTGTACTTGATACTTGAAGGAGTGGCCCCGTGTGGTGGTTGAAAGACTGGGTTCAAACATGGTCCCTCTACAAATACTGCAGCTGTTTCCAACTCTTACTTTGTCATACCCGTGTGTGATTTTGTAAAGCTGGATCACGTCTGTCCTTTGTCGTCTGAAGTTGAGTGTCGGTAACTGGAGAGCCTGGAGCCTCTGGGGATACGGCAAGTGGGACACTGACTCCACAAGCTTTGTAGCTCTTCTCTGCACTCTTTCGACACTGTCCCTGTCTCTCTTGGTTGTAGGACACCAGATCACGGTTGCATATTCTAAATGTGGACGGACTAAGCTCTTATAAAGAGGTAGAAAAGCCTCCTTGTCCAGGTACTTGAAGGTGTGCCTAATTGCACCCAGAACTCTGTTGGCCTTGTTTACTTGAACCTGGACGTGTGTGCTAAACTTGAGCTTACTGTCAATCGTCACCCCCAAGTCCTTCTCCTCATGTGTCACCTTCAGCGTGTGGAGTGTTCCATCTTCCTTTGTCATAGTATACTCGTGTGTGGGGTTTCTTCTTCCCAGGTGCATTACTTTGCACTTGTCAGGATGAAACTTCATCTGCATCCTAGATGTCCATCTCTGCAGAGTATTCAAGTCAGCCTGTAGACATGTGGAGTGTATATTGCTCGTGTGGATTTCTTGGGTCGCATGTGTTATGGTCTGGCTCGTGTGGAGTTCTTGAGTCGCATGTGTCTTGGCCTGGCTTTCACACCCATGTGCAATGGCGTAGATCTTTGTGTCGTCCGCAAACAAGGAAACAAAGTTATGTAGCTCATCGGGTATGTCGCTGACGAACATCGAGAAAAGAAGCGGTCCCAACACTGACCCTTGTGGTACGCCACTCGTCACCGCTTTCCAGCTGGATGCTTGGCCGTTGACTACGACTCTCTGTCTCCGGTGAGTCAAGAAGTTTCTAATCCACAGTAGCAAATTCTCTGCTATGCCGAAGGATTCTACTTTGTTGATCAACCTCTCATGTGGAACCGTGTCGAACGCTTTAGCGTAATCCAAGAAGATAATATCCACCGGTACACCGTGGCTCAAGGCCTCCGTCCACACATCCAGTGCCTCTAGTAGGTTTGTGACTGTGGATTTACCCTTGGAGAATCCATGTTGTTGTTCGCATGTGAGGTTGTTGACTCTCATGTGTTCTAGTATCGCATCTGATATGAATCTTTCTAGCATCTTGCAGATTATGGATGTCAAAGACACCGGTCTGTAGTTAGCCGGATCTGTTCTGCATCCTTTCTTGTAGATTGGAGTCACGCATGCCTCTCTCCACTGGTCTGGAAGCTTTCCACTTTTAATACTTGAGTTGAATATAATAGTTAGAGGTATGGCTAGCTCGTGTGCTGCTTCCTTCAAGACTCTTGGATGTATCCCATCGTTCCCAGGTGACTTATCGATTCGAAGTAGCTCTAGTTGCTTTAGTACCATTTCCTCTGTAACTACTATTGTCCTCAGTAGGTCACTCTGTAGGGGTTTCAGTGTAAACCTTGGCACATTACTGCGATCCTCGTGTGTGAAAGTTCTGACATACTGTGTGTTTAACACTTCTGCTTTCTTCCCGTCTTCAGTAGTCAACTTTCCTTCCTCGTCTTTAAGGTCTCCCACGTTTACTCTAGTCTTTCTGCGGCTGTTGACATATCTCCAAAAGGATTTGTTGTTTGACTTCACCTCTCTGGCAATCCTTCTTTCAAATGTCCTTCTCGCTTGCCTGGCCGCATGTGTAGCTGCATTTCTTGCTATCTTATACTTCTTCCAATCTTCTTTGCTTTTTGTGTTGAGATATCTTATCCACGTGTGAAATTTCTTCCTTGTCTTTCTGTACGTCGCATTATTCATCCATGGTGGTTTCACCCTCTGTTTCTTGCTGTTTGTTTTTCTCTTGGGAACGTGATTATTCACTGACTCGAGGATTCGGGATTGTAGTTCATCAAACGCTTCTTGTGTGCTCTTGTTTTCAAGTACTTCCTCCCAGTTGAGGTTGAGATCATTTCTGATTTCTTCAAAACTTGCTTTATCATAGTTCAGTGATGGACTCCTTTCCCTCTCCTCATGTGAGTTGAAGTTAAAACTGAATTGTATTCTAACATGGTCGCTCGCTCCCAGTGGATCGTGGTGCTCAAGACCTTCCACCATTTCTGCTTCGTTGCTGAAAACTAGATCATCCACTGTTGGAGTTTGATCACTCCTATATCTTGTTGGTTCTTTCACATGTTGATATACGTATGTGTATATCAACATGTACACATTGCTTTAAACAATGTTTAGAGTTAGATGTTCAAGGTTTAGGTGTAACGGTCGTTTGGTGTATTGTAGCCAACTGCCGACGTGCCGCATGTGAAGCTGGTGTGTTACACCGAAGGGCAGTTATACAGATACAGAAATGACTCTGATCATAAGACACACAGTTTTGCTATAATTCTACCCCCACTTGTTCCCAGCTGGTTGACCATGACAGTGTAGAGGAAGATGTTGAAGAGAGCCAGGAAAATGCAGAGGACAGTCACGTCACTGAGTCACGCCCACCGCCAGAGGGCAAGGCTGGAGGGAAGAAGAGAAAGAAGAAGAAAAAGAAGAAGGGTGGTGACAAGGAAGACAAGGGATCTCAAGAGGTAAAACATTCTGAAATACATGTACTGTACAATGTCACACATAACTGCAAGTTACACATAACTGCATAAGTTGATATAATATCATTATGTTTACCAAAGGAAGACATACTGTTTTTGCTCTGTTTCTTCTCCCGTTCCAAACACTAACCTCTGACCTGGTCAATGACCTGAACCAGACCGTCTCTTGCCATAGTAACTAGTGTTGGGTTACATCATGTTGCAGTTTTATAGCAGGAGGGGTTTAGACTCTCGTCATGATAAATCTAGAGTCTATCTTGTCTTTATCTTGTCTAGAGGCGACAAGATAAAGTTTTTATGAAAACCCTGTGTCTTTCTTATGTTTACCGAAGGAAAACGTATTGTTTCTGCTCTGTTTCCTCTTCTTCTTCTCCAAACTGATAAGGTCAATGACCTGAACCAGACGTCTGTCACCATGGTAACTAGTGTTGGGTTACATCATGTTGCAATTTTTTAGCAAGAGGGATTTAGACTCCTATCTGACCATATACATGAATGTGTTTGAGTAAGAATTATCAGAGCAGACCATATGCGAAGGTAAACATTATGCATTTGCTTTGTAAATGTTACTTAGTACCTTTCTAGTTTATTATTTTGTTCAATGTTGTTGTCCTGTCCTATGTTGAAAGAACCCGGAGGATGACATTGATGCCAGTATCCGCGCTGTGAATGAGATGTTAGGAGAGCTGCCCTTACAACCAGCTGCCAGTAGTGAACACTCTACACTCCCGATCGGATCCAAATCACTTCTATCTGTAGAACACAGGTAAGGCCACACCAATTTAATTTGTTGGTTCTCAGATTCGCCTCTTCAGTTTTTTCTTATTTGCAAAAAATGTTGACTTCATGGCTCCTATATAATTGTAGCATTTGGGGCTATAATAGGATGCATAGACCTGGTTTTATTTTCATTTTTTTTCGCCCTGACGCTTCATATTTTTTCTGAAAAAATCCGAGAACCAACAAATTAAATTGGTGTGGCCTAAGTAGCTGTTAATATCTAGTCTCTATGAATTATAGTTGCAAATTTTAAGCCTTAGACCTAGGGAAAAAATGTTGTGTTTCCTGTTTCCATTCTGAAAAAAATTAGGGTTGGTAGGTAGGGATTATCTTTTTTTATTATAATATTAGGCCACACCAATTTAATTTGTTGGTTCTCGGATTTTTTCAGAAAAAATATGAAGCGACAGGGCGAAAAAAAATAAAAATAAAAACAGGTCTAGGCATCCTATTATGTGCTTAAATGCTACAAAATGAGCCATGAAGTCAACACAAAAGGCTGGGTTAAAATTTAAACATTGAATTTTGAGCTTTTAATCAAACCACTGCAATGATAGATGGGGAAACTGTAACAACTAGGAAGAAAAGGATTATCCTCAACTGTTGGGGGCAAAACATGAGCATTTTTCAGTTGATTCAGAATCATATTATTTTTTTTTTTGCAAATCAGAAAAAAACGAAGAGGCGAATCCGAGAACCAACAAATTAAATTGGTGTGGCCTTATTTATTATTTTTTGTAGACTTTCCCAATCTCTAGTCATCTAACTTCTAATATCTCTGTTTTTACAGACACTTGAATCCAGAAAATGAAATGAAGAGAATATTTGGTGCTTCAACTGTGAGAGGAGAACAGAGGTTTGTTGAATACTGTGGTGACTTGCAAACCTTAAATCATTTCTTTATATTCTAATCTACAGTCTATTTGTTGTATAAAGTGTTACTGTAGTCTAAACGTTTTGTTTATTGTATTATTTTTTTGTTGCCATTGTTGCAGATCTAGAACCAGAAACAAACAACACAAAAGAAGTTGGTTGTCACAGCCCAAAGCAACCTGGCCCCCTCTGTCAAAATCAGGTGAGGGAATAGAAAGAAATCCTTAATTTCATATTAAAGAAGGAAAGTTATATTTGGACAACATTAAAACACTAGTGAAGCTATGAATTAATTTAAGGATTTTCAACTGATCAACATATATTAGTGTGTTTAAAAGCTAACCGTTTTTCACATCATCTTTTTACAGGGATATCTATGAAGTTGATAGAAACAAAAAGGGGGTAAGTTATATGGTACACATGTAGTTTTAAGCTTCTCTTTTCTGACACATGTGTTGACCAACATACATTTAGTAAACGGCAAGCTGTACCAGTAATTATCATACTCATAGTCAATTTTCTGAATAGTTGTAATGCTATCATTGTGGAGCTAAATCTGTAAACTGTACAATTATGTTTTACTGTTACATGTATATCTTCTCCAGATGCCAACATTTTACCTTTGAACACAACCGAGACTATCAGAAGGTCCAGTTTGACTTCTTAGATGCAGTTGAGTCGCTCAACCCAAACAACATTACGGTAAGATGTTTATGTTTTTGGCGACGCCTCATGGGTGAGCCTAATGGTACAGTATTGTGTGCAGTTTGCAAGAATTCTAGGAATTGTACAGGAATTTTGTCCACCGGCATGGAATGTCCACAGGAATGTCTCCCAGCTCTGTTTGTTGACATGCCCACATTCCTGGAAACCCTTGGGAAAACCTGTCTTCCCCTGTCTTGTTTGATGATGTCCTGTTATGGCCTCACTTTGAGAATTGAGGTGTTTAAAAACTCATATTTTCCAAGAACTATCGTATACTGGAACTCGTTGCCACCAAGCACAGTTGGGGCATCATCACTAGAAAGTTTTAAACAACTCCTGCAATGAAACGTGCAAAGATTGGGTGCAACAGGTCGTTCGGTGTGATATAGCTAGCTGCCACCGTGCTGCGTGCCTGCGAAGCTGGTGTGGTTATACTGAAGGGTGGTCATGCCAACTATACCGATACAGATACCTTGTAAAGCATATTATTTATATCAATGCAGTAAGATGAGTGGTTTATCAAAGACTTTAATAGTATCTGTATGTATTATATTATGTACATGCTTTTAGTTATAAACATGTGGGTGGTCCTAACAACTTCACTTTGAGGTGCAGTTCTAAACCTGCAGTTTTTTGTTCTCTCACTAGGCGGTGCTGCACCTCCATCCCTACCATGTTGATGCCTTGACCCAGCTGAGTGATGTGTGTAAAATGAGTGAGGATCTACAGATGGCTTCAGAACTGATTGGTGAGTAACCCAAGTATCAAGTCATATAGTAATACAATGTATCTTTTTGGAGTCTTAGGCCACACTGACTTAATTCTATGGATGACATCCTCTGAAGACCCCAAAACTAGTGTGCGCGGGAGAAAAAAAAAATTCCAGCGGTGAGCCAAAAATAAAAATGCTACTAAACCACAGAAGCTGGTATCCTGAATTTGTGGCAGTACATATCGAGGTATACGGCAAGCAGGCACATACTTGCTTTTTTCGGAATTTACGAATTGGCACTGTACGTTTTGTACTGAGTTCTTGAGTCACGGAACTTCGGTAGCCTGGGTGCCATCCTCCAGAGTTACCACCGGCTCCGTATTGTCGCTAACCCAGGCCTAGAGCCAGGGCCTTGCAGGACGTGATCTTTCTTTTTTTTTAGAACACTATAGCTACGGGCGAAAATCAATGCGCACATGAATGTCATCCATAAAATTAAGTCAGTGTGGCCTTACTGTATGAACTGTTGTCAAAGGTTTACATAAGGGAAACATAGCATAATACCTCTGCTATTGAATCAGATCTACTGTTTGTAATATTGTTGCTCCTTCTATGATTTTCAGTACTGGGGCTGTCTCTTTTTCATTTGTTGTATTGTTCCTGACTAGGAATGTACCTGTGTTCCTTACAGAAAGGGCTTTGTACAGTTTTGAGTGTAGTTTCCACACTCTCTTCAACATGACCCTGGGGACTTGTAGACTGGACTTCAGAAGAGCAGAGAACAGGTCAGGACTCAAAAACATGGATGGATCATGTTTTAGAGATGTATTGTAATTTAGGCTTGAGTCACTAGGTGGCGTTACAACTACCAGTCCCATACGAGCGATCGCTATGACATCATGGTATGTAAAAAGCAGGAGACAGTTATTAGTTGATTTGCCTTCTGCTAGACTGCAAATAATTTGCATGTATCATGTAAACAAAAACAGCGATCGCTCGTATTCAACCCATGCAGCTTAATAGTATTACATGTACGTCTAAAATGTTGTAGGAATGTGTGATGTGTACATGTGAGAGTACATGTAGGATTTATGCTTGTTTTTTATCTTTCAGGTCGTTCTACTTGGCCCTGTTTAAACATCTGACATTCATTGGTCAGCGTGGCTGTTACAGGACAGCACTGGAGTTCTGCAAGCTCCTGCTAAGGTATACTGTCTTTTTCGGGTACAAAAATGTACTATCATTCATTCAATTGGGTTCGTGTGGCGTAATCGGTAGCGTGTTCGGCTCGGTACCAAGAGGTCCTGGGTTCGAATCCTACCATGTCACCGATCTTGTGTCCTTGGGAAAGGCACTTTACACGACTTTCCTCACTTCACTCACCTAGCTTTGGTAGGGATATCCCTTGGATAGGACGTTAAATGGAGGTCCCGTGTTTAAGGAGAGACACACCCCATGCACGTTAAAGATCCCACCACACTTGTCAAAAAGAGTCCTTCCCGGTGTGAGTGGTTCAAACCTAGGTAACAGTCCAGTCTTACACAGCTTGTACTTAAAATTGTAAATGTACAAAATTGGTGTGTTGCGCCTGAAAAGAGATTACCGGTTATGCAAAACAAACAAATTGGCAAAAAGTCATATGTTAAAACTTGTTATTGTGCATCTCTGTCTGGATTGGAGTAAAATTCAATGCAAGGTTGTGGTAGCTCCATTTATAAACAATGTACAATCAAAATGTTAATTTTTCCTGCAGCCTTGACCCAGATGAGGACCCCCTGTGTGTTCTGCTGATGATTGACTTCTACGCCCTCCAGGCCAGGGAGTACAAGTTCCTACTCAGGATGTACCAGGAGTGGGAGGTCAGTACACATCACCTCAGCTGTAGCATTTACTTCAATACAACTTCAGTGGAAGAGTGATTATTATATCAGTATATGTGTTTTATTATTTAAGTTGCCTCGGTACATCTGGAATATATCTTACAGTATGCACAGTTTATATATTACCAGGCCCTATACAGAATGTATCAATAAGGCGTATTCACGTGACATCATCACCCTTGCCCCCCGTGCGCCGCCATGTTGAGGTACAACCCCAACTCGGAAATATTTTGCCAAGAATGAAAGTCATCCGACCACAAGGCACATTGATTATGAAGCAAAAAGGTTTGAAGGAAAAAAACAAATGTAGTGGGTTGCTTAGAGAATATTTGCCAATTTTACGGAGAGCTGCGTAGGGCTCCACTATGGAACAGCCTGCAAGTGTACCTCAACATGGCGGCAGCCTGCTCCTTTGCTAGAGACGCAGGCCTGTTGCAACGGGGAGGGTCATGTGACTGAATACACCCTATAGGTATTGATTCAATACCTAAGAGATACCAAAGAAATCTTTATGCATGTATAAGTCCCCACAATATAGTCATGATTGTGCAAATGTAGATGGTATTTTGACCCTTTGCTGCCAAAGCTGATACAAATATACAAAATAATTTATATATTATAGATATAATAATATAATACCAAACCCTATACAGAATTTTTTAAATAGACATTGATACAATATATAAGAAATCTTTATACATGTACAATTTTCCCACCAATATACTACTAGTATACATGTACATGATTGTGATTCACTGTCAAATCATATCCCTGCATTGTCAAAACATTTAGCTGTGACAGAACAATACATTGTTGACAACTCTAAAAGTTGTTGACAACTCAATTAACATTTAGTTCTTACATGTATATCTTAGTGATACGATTTTAGCTTGAAACACACCCACACACCACAGTATAAGTAAAACGTTATGTTTGTAAGACACTGACAGATTAATGCCTGATATAACATATTTGTCATATCGTTGATCGCCATCGATTCATCAAAATAAATTATCTAATGTTGTCAAGACATTTTGATGGTGCTTGGGATATTCTGTTTACATGGCCTCAATCTCATCAGAGTCTTCATCTTGTTCTTGATTAAGCATGTTCGGATGGTGTCTGTCTGAGTCCTTGTCTTTTTCTTGTTGTTGTTCCTGTATTTTACTTGGAATGTCCCTGTTTGAGTCCTTGTTTTGTTCTTTCTCCAGCGTCTTTTTAAGCTGTTCGAGTTTGGAGTCTTTTTTCTCTTCTTGAGGGTTATCGTATTGTCTTGCATCCTTTATATCCAACAGAGGCTCATCTTTATTGACTGTTGAATCTTGCCTGCCTTTTGGGAAAAAGTCCTCTACTTCTGAGTCATCACTCCCATAGAAAAAAATCTGACCAGGTGTCCTTTGATCTCTCAACCTTTCATGCTCTTTTCCTTGAGTGTTGTTTTCCTCATTCTCAACAGCACCTTCTCCATTCCTAGACTGATTCTTTTCTGGCTCCTGAGCTATCAACTTCTTGAAAGGATCTTGTTCTTCCTCTATCTCACTCTCGGAGCTAGAGATGTCTTTATTTTCAGATCCAAGATGGCCTCCCTCCTCTTCTGGTCTTGAATCAGTGCTCTGTTCTTGTCCAATATCGTCTTGCTCTTTCATGGACTCTTGGTCACGTACATCTTCTGATCCAGCATTGTCTTGTACATCTTTAGGATCAGGATCTTGACCATCTTCAGATTCAAGATCTTGGTCATCTGATGTGGCGTCATCTGATGTGGCATCATCTGTCTCTTCCTCAGAGTCGGACTCATCAGTTTCATCATCTTCTGATCCAACATCAGTCTCCTCCTCAGACTCCTGATCTTGGTCTTCTCTTGAAGCAGCGTTAACGTTGTCTGTCTCTTCCTCAGACCCCAAACCTTTGTCTCCTTCCGATCCAGCATCACTTTGCTCTCCTTCAGACTCTGCCTCCTCATCTGAGCCTGAATCTTCTGTCTCTTCCTCAGACTCATCATCTGCATCACTTTCTGAGTCATCTTCACTTTCCTCTTCTTCACTTTCCTCCTCTGATACAGACTCTAGATCTTGCTCCTCTTCTGAATTAGGACGGTGTTCTAGTCCAACCTGACCTTGCTCATCATCTTTTTCTGATCTAGTCTGGTCTTGCTCGTGTTCAGGCCTTAAATCCTCTGATTGACCATGTTGCTGTTGTTCTTCAAAAACGTCATCATACCCTTCCAGGTAACCATCTGGTCGGTCTTGTTCTTGAACCTCCTGCTGTTGTTCTTCCTGGAAGTAATTTTGTTGAGGAGCTTGTTCATCCTGCTGTATGACTTGTGCTAAAACATCTATCAGCATTGGACCGGGTGCTGGTTCTGAACTCGGCTGATCATCCTGCTTCAAATCTCCTGGTGCCAGTGGGCCATCCTGTTCCCCTTCTACATCTTGACCCTCCTCTCCTTGAGATGGAAGACCTTCTTGGTTTTCCTTTGTTGCTTCAACCTGTTCTTCCTCTGTCTTTTCCTCCTTGCCTTCCTCTGTTTTTTCCTCCATGCCTTCCTCTGTTTTTTCCTTGTCGTCAGCATCATCACTGTCTGATTCTTCCAAGTCCGCCTTCTTTACCTTCTTCACCACTACCTCCCAGGTGTCATCTTCAAGTGTCTTCCACGTCCTCATTCTGAAGTTATCACAGGGTACCAGGTCCCTGGCGTACCAGCCCACCTGACTCTTCTCCCTCGTGAGGCTGCCGTGAACATTCTCCACCCTGATCTTGTCAAGGTCACGTATGGCGCGGCTTCCAAGGTCGTACTTGATGACGCGGTACGTGTCGGGGATTGGCTCTGCCGTCAGGTTCTCTTCCATGTGTAAGTCTATCATCAGTGGCTTCACGTACTCGTTGGCCAGGAGATAGATAATGTGGGGAGACTCCTCTGGGTTTGGTAGACGCCGGTAGATTGGTTCGATGTACTGCGACAAGTGTATGGTGGTCGGACCGTCCCTGATTTTACCCTCGAAACAGACCTGGAACACTTTGGCTCTCGCTGGGAAGTTTTTCTTCATGTTCATGTTTACGACAAACAGTTTGCCGTCATTTGACATGAAGATACTGGGCTCGAAGGGAAGCTCTAACTTCCTCTTGTACCAGGTGTTTTTCTCGGTGTGGTAGGCCCGTAGGATGGCCTGGTGGGAGTTTGGGTGGTAGATGATGTAGAGCTTGTGGCGGTGACAAGCTGCCAGGATGGGCTTGCAGGACACGATGTCTGCCGAGTCACAGACCTCCCACACCTTAGCAACCTGGTTGTACTTCTCCATGTGGACCAGCGACGACTCGGTTTCGTTCTGTCCACCAATCACGTACAGCGTGCCTTCGATCACCACCGAGGTGTGGCCGTACCGCGGAGTGTTCATGCGGGGCAGCTTGCTCCACTTGTCCTTCATGAAGTTATAGGCGTACCCCCTCCTCACGGTCTTCTTGTGTTCGATTCCCTTCTTGTTGGTCACCATCAGAGCCCCACCTGTGAGGTAAAACATGCAGGTGTGTGCAGCAATGCTGGGAGACTCCACATAGTCCTCCGGAAGGCTGCTGACTTTGTACCAGGACTTTGTGTCTGCATCGCAGCACAGAATGCCCGGCTTCCCAAAGACGAAAAACACGTGTTCCGCCATCCCCTTTCTTGGCTTGTACTCGAGTATGGTAGGTAAGATCTTGTCGACGTCTAAGGGTTCTTTCTTCTTCTTCTTGGAGGATTCGGACAGTGATGAGGAGGAATCGCCCACCAAGTCTGCCACTGCTTGTAACCTCTCTGTTAGTGCTGTCCCTACTAGTTTGCTGGCACCAAATACTGCTGCACTTGCATCAGTCACAGCGTCCATCACTGTTTCCACCACCTCCTCTGCACCTTCCTCAAACTTGTCCATCAACTCGCTCCACATGGATTCTGGCTCTTCTTCATTCTCACACGATTGAGTGGACCTCTTCTCGTTTTCCTCTTGGTGTGACTCACTGTCGTTCTTCCCCAGCTGCTGACCCATCTCATCCTTCTCTTGATTTAACTCATTCTCAGTCTTCTCTTGCTGGGACTCAGTCTGCAGCTGCTCTTGGTCTTCAACATTGCTGGCTTGCTGAACCTCACTAGTTTCTTCTTTTGCCGCCGCAATTAGATCAACTTCTGTGAAGTTTATCAAGGCCACTGACTTCACTCTTCTTGAATTGCTTGTCTTCCTTTTTGGCTTTGTTGTTTGGAGATCAGGTTTTTTAACTGCGTGTGTTGGCCTGTTTGTTTTAACTTTGTTTCGCTCAATGATCTCGAGGCATGTCTCCGACTTCCCCATGCTGCCCCTTCCCTTCATAGTGTTTTTCCGTGGCTTGTACATGTAGCACGTCTCCATGTCTGCCAAGTCTGCGATGCTTGCAGAAAACTTTCGTGGCTTCTTCACAGCACCGATGGCGTCCTCGTATTCCTTCATCCTGGTGACGATTTCCCAAGGCTTGGTGTTCTCAAATTCCTCCTTTAAAGTCAGCGGTCTTCGAAGTGTATCAATGTCAGGTATGGGTAACATATCCGAATTGGCTTCATCGTGGTACAGAGACTTGACAAGCCTCTCCCTTCTTACCTTTGGGTTCAAGTCCAGGTTTTTCAGAGCTCTCTGCAGTTCAATTTTTCCTACAGTCTGCATCCACCTTCTTTTAGCACGTGTATGTGACATTTGCTGTGCTAATTTCTCTTCTACTGTGGGGTTTATCAGAGCTTCTGTGTCCTCATCAGGGGCACTTTTTGTTTCCACATCGTCAGAACTTGAAAAGAGCCTAGCGATGGTTCTGAAGATGTTCCAGCTTGACCCCTGAGTTTTTTCGTCATCCTCAGACGTGCTTGCCTTCGGAGAATCTGCCTCATCAGGTGCACCCTCTTGTGATTGTTTGCCCCCCTCCCTCAAATTCTGCAGAAGTTTGTTCCATATGTCAAGAATTATTGTCCTTCTGGTGCCGTTTCTGAAGTCTGCACCTTCGTCATCCACCGTTTCCTGATCTTCTGGAATCTCATCATCATCATCAGCCTCCTCTTCTTCCTCCTCTTCTTCCTCCTCCTCCTCAGAGGAAGTGGACTGGAAGTCACCTTCATCACTTGACTCAACTGGTACCTGCATCAGGAGAAGGCAAAACATCATTAACTTAAAGATAATAGTCTCAGATCTACAAGCAATATAGAAGAGAACTGAACTAAGAGGACACTGTAGCCATGCAGTAGTGAAGCATCCTTCAACAGAATTTCTTCATCCATCCCAACATTTAGTTGAGCTATGTAAGCGTGCCATACAGCACAGTTCGACGGCATCAAAAGTGCACAGAAAACACGCTATGACAGCAGTCCCATATGGGGCACCCAGAACGGCTGTTTTTAACCTTCTCCACATTGATATAAGGCTCAAATGGTTAACAAGACTCATTTAGTCACTTCTTTCATAATCATAGGCCAAGCCCCCTCCCCCAAGAAAAACATTTAGAATTTGCAGTCATATGAGTTAAGAATCAGCAGTAATGTAAGGAAGACTTAGCCCTTCAACATTACAATTATTGATAATATGTGTTCCATACAGGAATATGTGAGACTTACTTCTTGGTTCTTTAGCTTGACATGTTGAATCATCTCCTGTGCCTCGGTTGAGGCCATCACCAGCGGGTGCTGTTCTAACTTCTCCAGCTGACTGGGCTTTAGCAGGGTCAGTCGCACCGCCTGGAGGACGTTGGCCGCGTTTTTGTCGTCTTCGTCCTGTTTCGACTTCTCAAGCCACGTCATGGCGGCCTCGAAGACGGCCTCCTCGCTGTAGACTTCTGTTTCGAAGTACTCGTCATACTGGTCTTCACTCACGTGCTGACAGTCTATCTTGTCTGTCATCAACTCATCACTGGCAAGGAAATCAATGACCTGGTGTGGAGGGAAGAATATCACTTTATTTTATTTTCATCAGGTTTAGAAAATGTTTCCAAATAAGCCAACGTTACCTTGACATAATTCATGTCTCTGTTCTGGCTCATCCTTACTTTTGTCATGAAAGCTTTTGATTTTGATGGCATGTACATGTAATAGTCCCTAATGATAAGGTCTGTAACAGTTCTAGTATCTATGTTTATTATGATACATGAAATGCACATTTTCTATCACGTTTTCTAACAAGCCCTAAGTTTTGAAGCTGCAAGGAACCTTCCTGGTTTTTTTTTTACGTTTTCCCTGTAATTCATATATTTCATATCATTCCTACATGAATTTCTAAATTTTTGGAACATTTGTGTCAACAGAAATTCAAAAATAGGAAATATAACTGTAGGTACCTTTTCCTCATCTTGCTGCAAGAACTCTTCATCATTAAAGAGGTCTGCTATGAGTGGCTGGGCTTCATTTTCATCTCTGATGTCTTCCAAGGAACCAATCTGGACATCTTCCTCGAGATTCTTTTCCCTCAGACACGGAAGACAACAGCAAACCTTCCCAAGTGCCGACCTCAGCATTGTGGGATGTTGTTAACACTGGATCCCTGAATTTGTCAGGTTAACGTCTCACTCTGGCAGTTGGTTGGCCTTAACCTAGATCAAGTACATGCTACAACTGTAATTCACTTTATGTTCACGGTAGCAAAAGTTCACAGTCTGAGAAAAATGGACATGCTCACAGAATTACATATTCACGGTGGCGACAGGTGCAGGAAAAAGAAAGTCCAGGAATTATTTGTTGACTGTAATGATAACTTCACGGTACAGAAGTGACAATGAAAACAGTGAACATATTTAAGAGTACAGTGAAAAAATTAGGAATTACAATAATCAAGACTATGAGGACAGTAGTTGTATTATTATCATGAAATGTAAAGAAAAGAGCCTTGGCCTTTCTTTTGGGACAGAATACCAGAGGGCAATATGTTGGAAGTAAATTTTTTCTGTCATACTACACAGCACAGTTTAACTTGAAAGCATGTTTTTGTATTACTGTCTATCAATAAGACAAATTAAAGTAATTCTATTTCATACTTTGCAAATGCTACTCAAATTTGCCCATCTGAGGTTACATCTGTACCATTTGTGTCAACATTGTTGTCATTTTTTAATCTGTTAGGCTGGGACAAGGTCATTCTATTCAATAATGTATAAAGGTTCTGAGTGTCACACAGTGTAGGGCAATGCTTCTACCAGATAGGCTTACAGAATGATTTATGTGAAAGTGTCAAAAGCCTGGAGGGCAAACATGTATAAGGCATATTTATCACTTTTTCAACCATTACTGAAAACCTGGATTTCAGGACATCAAATACAATTTTCTTGTTCATTGAAGTAGCTGTTTTAACACGTTTTACTCTTATTTTTTTATACATCAATCATATCCTTTGTAGGTCTTTATTATTTTGATGCCTTGGAATTTTCAAGCTGGTTGTGACAGAACCAAATGCTGATAAGGATCTAAGACAAAATTTTCTTGAACTGGACAGCTGAATTTTGCAAGAAGCATGCACTGAATGCCCTGAGTTTGCAATCATACGACACACATGTATGTGACCAGGCCCTACCGGTAAATGCCTAATATGCAGCTTTGTGGTTTACATGTTTTGCAAGAGACCAGGTGTTACATGTTTTTGTCAAAACCCTGTGTGCATGTATCTGTGTGGATTAAAAGAGTAAAAATGAACTGACCCCATGTTTGTTGCTAGCAATACTCAGCTGAAACTACTTACATAATGTTACCTTGTGCCAGGTAAACAATTCTTTACAAATTGCTGCTTTAGTTTAATTAAAAAGCATAATATACAGAAAACTGTACTGAAAAGTGTACAGAAAACTTAAAGATCTGACAATCTATGAGGTCGTGATCTTACTCTGTAACTAACCGTAGCAAAGGTTTTGCTGTAGATTTTTTAGTTAGAGACTGTTTCACTATGAAAACAGGGGGTACATGTATGTCCTTTACTCAGTAATACAACAAGGCTAATGACCTTAGGCTAAAACCACCAATCTGCTTCAATTTTCTGAGAAATACCACACTATCTCCTGTCATTAGATAGTTTACATGCTTGGAAACAGTCACAACTAGTAACAGCTACATGTAGAGTGACAAGGTAGTAGAAATTGTACTTACCGGATTACGCATTGTGCAAAGAGTTGCTTCATGCAGATTATGTGCTGTGGTTCACAGTAGTTGGGTAGGGTGTGGTTTCACGTATGGATGGCTAACATTGTGGTTTTTCAGGATATAGTGGATCCTTAAACAATGGGGATATTGTTCTTGGAAACTAGTTCTAGCAACTGCTCAGCACTCAAATCAAGTCCATAATACCTACCATACCTTGCAATGCTCTTCTGGATGTGCTAAAAAAGAAGTGGCACACAAGTCTTGTATACCCCATGCACACCCCATGCTCGTCACCTCACGTTGAATACCAGAGCTAAGGGTTGTGATCCCTTGGTTTGGTTCTTAATGTGTTCAATAGTGTGGAAAAGCCTCAGGCATATATAAATCAGCTGCCCATCTGGTGTCCTCAGAGAATACCTACAATGTACATGTATACCAGTAGTTTGCAGCAGTATAAAGTACTACAGGCAACATGTACACTGTTTCAATTGTAGCTAGCTTCTTCTGTACAAAGCTACAAAATATTTGATCCATGCACAGTGACAGTGAATTAGTCTTCATTCAATAGAGAATAACATGGAAAATGCAGTTCACAGGTGGTTGTTGAATACCAGTGTTTTCCTTTCCTTGTGCAGCTGGTGTGTTACACCAAAGGGCTGTTATATAGGCTATACAGAATACAGAATAGTGTAAAGAGGTTCACAGGGACAACAAAGCGTTTTCATGAAAGAGTTTAGAACTTCACCTGAAGGTGTTATGTATATAGAGGGGATTCATTCCTCAAGCTAACCGACATCTTGCACACGCAGTCGTCCCTCAGTAAGACGTATGGAGCTGCATAGTTCCCGTTTAGAGAAGTTTTATTCAGCCTGTCACACAACCGGTTTCGCCTGTGTGGCTTCTTCAAGTGTACAGAGGCTAAAATGACATGCTGAATAAAACTTCTACAACGGGAACTGTGTGGCTTACTGACGTCTTACTGAGGGACGACTGCGTGTGCAAGATGTCGGTTAGCTTGAGGAATGAATCCCCTCTACTATATACTTAACTTGAAAGTCTTGTTCTATTAGCAGATGCTGCTATCAGGGCTGACCTACCCTCCCCTACATGTATATCTATGAACATAACAGTGATACTCAAGCAGCCATGATATCACAGATGTCTCAACTTTTGCCGTCTCTGCAGATCCATAGGAACCTCTCACAGCTTCCCAACTGGGCGTTGTCTGTTGCCATGGCAACATTCCAGCTGAGCCGTGAGGAGAAAGCAGAGGAGGAGGAGGCAGACGATCTGGTACAAGAAACCTCTTCTGTATTGTCTTTAAGCATAAAGGAAATGGACTTTTTGTCATCTCAGATATGAATGTAAACAGTGGTTGAGGTATCAATAGTTACTGGCCAAAAAATCCAGAAAAATCTTTGTCTACATGTATAATATTATATATGATACAGTTTAACCTTTGAAGAGATGGAGCTGTAGATCATCCTAACTTTCATGCTGTCTGTGTTTCAGTTACAAAAGGCTCTCATCATGTTCCCATCAGTAAGTATAAATAATCATTGATTATGCTTATTATTAGTGTAATCAGTGTAGTGTAGTTTTGCAGTAAAAATATGACTTAATAGTTACCTCATCGGCACATGAAAAAGTATGTACAGTTTTTGCGCAACTTGGCAACATCTACTGGCATGTATTTTTATGAATAACCGCATTTAAAATTTATGTTGTTGTTGGTAGGTATTCAGTTACAACTACAAGACATTCACTTTTTCTGTGCAAGAAGATACAGAAACATTAGCACTAGCAGTGTGGTTTTTTTTTTCCAGATATTGTTTCCCCTCCTTGACAAGTGTTCCATCCATCCAGACAAGGACGTAGAAAACCATCAGTTCTTTGGCCCTCAGGCACAAGTCAGGTAAGCATGGGCTCCTTTCTGTGTGAAAATTTTGCTCAATGATGTATTCAACATAATAACATGTATCATGTTACTATAGCTACTTAGTACATGTAAGTAGTATGGTCCTACTGTTGAGAAACTATTCCTTTATTGTGACAAAAAATCTTGTAAATGTAGAATTTATTATAGTAAAAATTTGGTCAAAAATTCTGGTGAGTAGATATCTTTTGTTGGAGAACAGTTTAATTCTCATTATGTAAAATTTATCTTAAAGGCATCCGATGCAATTTCAGGGCAGCAAAACTGGAAATATTCTGAATAAGACAATCTTTGTGATATTGTCACAAACTGCTTTACATTTAGCACATTTCAATCAGCATTTCATACATTGGGCATTTCAAACTGAAGAAACAAGCCCTAAAATGAGTCCCTTATTTTCTGGGTGGTACCCTAAAAATCAACCCAGGGCCCTTCCAGTAAACATTTTCTGTCAGAATTTTGGGAATGTTTGCTCCACAAGGGTCAATATACATTGGGATAGCATAGGTTCAACTCAGTATATAGTTAAATGACTAGAATATTGGCTCTGAAAAAACAGGTTTCCAAGCCCTAAAAATTGCACTGGATGCTTTTAATCTCAGAATTTCAACGCTTCCATGCATTTTCTGTCATCCTGTTTCGCCAGCCAACCGGAGGCCCTTGGCCAGCTTGTTGCCCTGTTTGTGGGGAGGTCCAGTCCCCTGTGGAAGGAGCCTGAGGTCATGCAGTGGCTGGAGAGGAACGTGAAGGTTGTGCTGGAGAGAGTGGACCAGGCAGACCCACTGGTGGAGGAGTGCAGGAAAAAGTAGGTCATACATGGACAACAGATCTAGAGTCCTTTTTTTTTATTCCAACATGTAGTCACAAGACATGGTGACGGCACACTCAAGTTTTTTCAACTTGTATTAATGCTGCCACCAACACAGGGACAGTACAATACTCATTTTCACCTGAGGGAAGTGAGGAAAGTCGTGTAAAGTGCCTTTCCCAAGGGCACAAGATCGGTGGCATGTCAGGACTCAAACCTGGGACATCTTGGTTCCGAGTCGAGCACTCTGCCGCTACGCCACACGACCCCACAACCCCAAGAGTCATTTTTATGTTGTTGGATGGCTGTGTGGCTATGATAGCAGACACAAGATCAAAAGACCATGGGTTCAATTCCTGGCTAGACATTGTGTCCTTGGGAAATTCACTTTACATGACTTTTCTCACTCCACCCAGGTGTAAAATGGTTATGCAACTTTGGTTAGGGAGGTACAAGGCAGTGGAAGGAAAGGAATGCCTTCTATATCCATATACTAAACACAGTGGATATACAACACACTGCCCCTATGGCCTCAAAAAAGGCTACCATTATGTAGAACTTCCATACATTTCAGCTTTATCACAATGTTGTCGATGAGATTAATCCTACATTGTACATTACCTTGTTCCATGTCTGCTGCTTTGCTAGGAGACAGCTGAGGTACCAGGGCACCCCACGGAACATCTACAGACACATCATCGTGTCTGAGATCAAAGATGCCACAGCTGCACTGCCAAGGGTCAGGCCAGGTTTCCTTCATAACATAGTAAAATTCTGTGCAGTATAAGTGAAGTTTTGTTAGTTTCTTCATGTGGATTACCATTTGTCTGTGATGAGAAAGATGAACCTTTTTGATTCCAACAACTCATCTTTTCTGTTTTAAATAAAAATCCTTCTGATATAGTAGAAAAACGTTTAACCTTTACCACAAATTATATACCACAAAATATATGTAGCTCATATTATGTTTTGTTCCCCATAGGACTTGGCTAATGCTCCAGTGTTGTCCTATGATCCCCTTCCTCCTGCCAATGCCATCATTAGCTACACTAGACCACAGAGGTAAGACACTGCTGCAGTAGATTAGACTTCAAATATGTAGACTTGACATACATATTTTGACTCTTGAACAGAGAAACTACACTGTTTAACTTAAACTGAATTGTCATGATTCTTTTTTTTTATCTTTGTTTACAGAAGGCGAGTGGTGGCAGGTACAGAGGGTGAACACAGTACCTTGTCCCTGTTCCTCAGATCCATGATGCCAAACTACAACTCTCAGCAGGTCAGACACATGTATAGTCTTTTCCCAAAGTAAATTGGTGTCGCCTAACATTTAAATTTTAATTGCTTTAGGTCACACCAATTTAATTTGTTGTTTCTCAGATTTTTTCAGAAAAAATATGAAGCGACAGGGCGAAAAAAAAAAAAAAAAAACAGGCCAAGGCACCCCACCATAGCCGTAAATGTTACATTATGAGCCACGAAGTGAACATACCAGGCTTGTTTATAATTAAAACAATAGATTTCGAACTTTTAATGAAACAAAATTGCATTGTTACATTGAAAAACTTTAACAACTAGGAAGAAAAGGACTTTCTTCAACTGTTGGGGCCAAAATACATGTATGTCTTTCATTGAGCATTTTGCAGTTGATTAATTTTAGAACGAAATTTTTTTTTTTCTTTTGCAAATCAAATTGAATTGGTGTGGCCTTTGAGACTGAGATATAGACTCTGTTTCAGGACCAGACTGTGAGAAACGCCGCCCCAGGCCAGCCTGAGGAGGCGGAGGGAGCGGTGGGAGGACAGGACACAGACTTGCATCGTGGGATACACGCCTTGATGGACGCCATGCGGGACCTCCTGACGAACATCCAACCCGCAAATGTCCCACGAGAAGATGGCCGGGACAGCGATGGTCATGAATGGGAAGACGAATTCGACTGAACTTATTATGTACAGTGTACATGACAAATACAGCTATTTTTTACCAACATTGGGATCATTGAATCTTAGCAATGGCCCTTGTTCTGTTAAGTTTATCTATCGATAAATGAAGAATATTAGTTTATTTTTATCTTCAAACTTGCAAATTAGTAGATCCAAATTAGTTTTTTTTCCTGCGTGCTGTGGAATAGTGAACTAAAAATTATTGCTATATGATTTGGCATTACATGAAAATGATTGAATGCATACTAACAAGAAGCCATTATACAGAATGGCACACCCAAAAGTTGTTGCTTGATCTTACATTTTAATTTGGGAAAGACTCAGTCTGTAGCCTAGTACATGTACTTAGTGTATGTATATTAAATAAAGAGATACTCCATTCTGTATTTTGTATTCTTATCAAATGGGTTTTCAGGCTCACACAGACATGAATGTCATCATTTTCATAGCTAGGAAAGGCTAAGGAAAAGTGTACTGACAATGTACATGTACATATTTACCTTCGCCAAGAAGGTTATGTTTTCAGAGGCGTTCGTGTATGCGTTCGTTTGTGTGTATGGGTGCGTGCGTGCGTGCATGCTTGCGTGCGTGTCTGTAAACAAGATAACTTGAGAAGGCTTCAATGGATTGTCTTCATACTTGGTAGGTGCAGACATCTTTCTTTTCGCCAACCTTAATCCTGCTTTTGCCTCCAAGTCTCTTAAAGCCCTAGATCTGCAGAAGGAACTTTCTCAACAGCCTCTTCCCTTCTTACACTTGGATGATTCACTTCACATCTATTCCTGGGAGCTAGTAGCCATACACAGCTGAGCAGAGGGGTGATTGGTAGTTGTGCTAAAAATGTGGCATCCTCCAGTAAAAGGGACACAATGCAAATGAAGAGAAACAATGAACGTAAATATGTTGATGTAAATCCAGGAAAGCACTGGTTCGCTCAACTGTAGTAGTCAGTAATGGTCTAAAAGTCTGACGTTTGTTTTCAACCACTGGTACTGTCCTTGGTGCTGAAAGCCACCCCTAAGCAATATCACCCCCCTCCCTCAGTTCGTAATGATATTAGCCGGGTGAACTGGACTTTTTCGCCTCTTTTTGTCACATAAATCGACCCCTTTTCGCAGTAAAGGCAGCTCGAACAACTCTGTGGCTTATCTGGAGCGACATAATTGGCTCAAACACTTCCGTTCGTAGTAAAATCCGTTATAATTCAGTCATTATATTTCAGTCCATACCATGGTATGGATGAAATATATTGTGTTCTCTGATGTTTCTTCTCCTTCTCCTCCTCCTGCCACACAGTCAGAGGGATTCAACTCCGCCATCATTCAGCCAAATGACTTGAAATTTGGCATGGAGGTAGAGTGGGCCAATACCCCCAGGCGTTTTTTTCATTTTTTTGATACATGCCTTTAAAAAATTTTTATGAAGGTTTTTTGGGGCATTTTTTGCCAAAAAATGGATTTTTGGATCCTGAGCCCTGGTTTTACAACCAAATGATCTGAAATTCGGTATAAGGGTACCTTGAACATGTGTCTACAGAACAACAGTCACATATTTGGCATACACCACTTCCAAATGACTCATTTGGAGGACTTTAATTGCTATTTTCAGCAAAAAAAGGGCCAACAGTGCTATACCCGTTCCATGTTCTATCTAAAGAATGGCACGTTCTATCTGCCGTTGGCCATGGAACAGGTGTTCCATTGCGGGTTACCTGAGGTCACATTGCACGTAAGTCGTGCGTAATGACCCACACATTCAATTTTATGTGCCTAAGACCTTCAAAATGTATCAAATCTCATCATTGTTAGTATTTGCATACCTGTAAGAAGATTAGTAAAGCTTTCGAGATTCAATGTGCTTGTTGTTGCATCTTTGTTCTCAATTACATGGCTACTATATAATTCATTTATTTGAGAATCTTTGCCAGTTTTACACTGGGGTAAGTTTGGAATAGTCCACTTTTGCGTGGGAGGGAGATGGACTGAAATATGCTGTATTTGCTCCCAAGCAAATGTCGGCCTCTCTAGTTTTGACCGTGTTTACCTGAAAGTAAAGCAATTTCTGGTGTTACGAATGGGTTGCCCATATTTGGGCATGAAGTAACGTAATCATAGCTCCCAACCAATCAACAACTATCAAACATAATTACGTGAGCCAATCAGCATCGATGGCTCATCCTCGTTGCAAAACGCTAAATGTCACAAGAATTATAACCAATCAGCATTAAGGATACATATTTCAATGTAAATTTATGACCTTTAGCGCCATGGATCAAAAGCGACTTCTAGCAGTCGCTGAAATTACTGCAGGGAAAATTTCTCAAGTACCTGCAATAATCACACGGGGTGCTAGAGGCCCTCACTGACACGTGTAGCGCACACCTTCGGCGTGTAACGTTAACACCCCCATCAAACTCCTTTCAAGCCGTACCCGCTCAAAAATTCTGGCCGTACCCGGAAATTCGTGCCGTACCCGCGAAAATGTCAAGCCGTACCCGGTAATTCGTGCCGTACCTAGCCCTGTACTT